ACATCCATTCGTTTTTCGCCTCTACACCCCCCTTCCCCCCCCCCACAAATGCCCCTTATTTGCCCCCCCCCCCCCCCCCAAAAAAAAAACAAATTTTGCATCAGCATTGTTTTCAATAACAAAGGTTATGCAAAATTTCGGAGGGCAAAAAATGTGCAGTATGGGAGATGTGCATGCAAGTGGCGTATTCAAACTAGTAACGCCATTTGTGAGAAAAAGTATGAAATAGCTGCATGCGTAATAAATTTGTGGGGTTGAATGGAAATCTTACCAATCGAAAAATGCACCAACTGAAGAAATCAGAGCTACGTTAGGAGTAGATACTGGTCTGAATGACAGTTTTAAGTCTTTGAAGCTTTGAAGACTTACAAAAGATAAAATCCCCTGGCAAACATTGCTTAAAATGCCACGGGAAAGCAGTGTTTATCAACAGGTTTATTTATTTGCGACCTTCGGTAATTCAACTCTAACAACATTTAGTTTCTACCTCTCAGGAAGAACAAATGATTATAGAATGAAAACGTTGATTGAATACGCCATGAACGACGAACTTTGATAAAAAATGCAAGGAGGATCTGTGACTGCGTGGTCAGCTCGCATACTCGCAATCCTGCGGTCCCGTGTTCAATTCCTTCCCTGACCTCTGGATCTGTTTCTAGGTCGTCTTCAGTAAAGAGTATCTATAGATTAACTGTTTGACCGTTCCTCGATCTTTCTCTGGTGAATTTCAGAGAGGGTAAGAATATAGGAAATGGTTGCTCCCTTACAATTGTCAATCTGCGGTTTTATGCTTTCAAATATCAGTTACAGTAAGTGGAAAATGGGCAAGGATGTTTCAAACAAGTAGTAAACTTAACTTTTTTTCTTCATTTTTCGCAAAATATTGAACTAACCTCTTTACGTTAAAACGTTTGGCGCCGAAGACAACACCAGTTTAACTTTTCAAGCACTTAGGACAGTGAAAGCAGAAATCTCATGCAGTCTTAAAGTACTTTGCTTTTTAGCTTATGCAATTTCTCCTCTAAGTGAAACCCGACAATGATCATCAGTAAGTGTTCGACAGCTCGCCATTCAGTTAATTCGTTCAAATTTGTTTCAGTTCTTGTGCATGACAACGAGGCAAAGCAGCTGGTCACAGTTGAACTAACCAAAACTGAACTACAAGATAATCGTTTAAGTGACAAACTTTCTTTACGGTCAAATTATAATTAATGATTACTTCATGATACTTATGATTAGGGTTACCTTACCCTTGTAGGCAAATCGAAGAATTGGAATCGTGGTCGGTAAACGTTTAATAGCCTAAGATTCGCGTGTAGGGTTAAAATGTGTTTAAGATACTGAAATGTCTGATAAATATACCCAGGCATAACTGATTGAATACTTCGTCCTCATACCCAAACATGAAGTGAAAATAGGAGCGGAGAAATAGCTGGCCTTGAAGACGTAAAACTGATTGTTACCTTTAACTGAGGTGTAAGCTGTCCTTCAAAGCCAAGTGTTGGTTTAGCACTGAAAACGAATCAAACAATCATTGTCAAATTATGAGGACTGTTTGCACCAACCCGGGGCGACTCAAAAGGGAAGCTGAAGACTCCTGGGGTTGCCAACGTAAACCATTACATAAGATAACAAGTTATTTGCGGATGAAGCACCGTCTCACGAATCAATTTAGGCGCTTGATCAAAAGGCAACTATGAATCATCATTTGCATCTCAAAACGGAAATGTACTTGACTAAATCCGCGGTGTTTGAGGTTCAAATGGAGCTCCAGGAAATCTTTAGCAATCTCAATGCAAAATTAATGGGTAAATTAATTTAAAAACGGTAAGGATATGAAAAAGAGGCTTAACATGAATTAATCATGTTCAAGAAAACCTTAATTATAAACTGTTTTTTGATTAAGCAAATTTTTACCTATATTTTTTAAGGCTAAACCTTAATATTTAGGGATTGCCTTTTTTTAAAACAGTCTACAATGAAACTTAAAAAAATTAATAAGAAAAGAAATGTGAGTAGTTATTAAGCAAATTGATTCCGCATTGAAGTGGTATTACGTACGTCTTTTAGGACAAAAGAAACAGAATAATAATGCTAATGCATCGATATCCTGAAGACAAAATATGACGCCAACCATGGTTCTCTAACACCTGCAGTACTCGAAATATTCGATTCGTATACATTTGGCCAGGACTAGCCTGAATTTCATACATTACGTAGAGTCGCTTTTATATGAAAATTGACGTGCATGTATATAGTATCGAGTTCCATAAGTAAAACGAGTAGCGGAAATATTTTTAGCCTGTCCCAGGCTCCGAGATAGTCGGGTCCGCTGAATTATGAAAAAAAAACGGTAGGAAATCTATCCCTTCATTTTTCCTTTTTCCCGCCCCACCAATTTTTCGCGTACCTCTCACTTTCGCGTCTTCCCCACCATCTGAGAGCCGGGAACAGGCTAAAACATTTTACACAGAAGAGTAATAAGCCGTGATCTTATTGGCTATCAAAGATTCAAAATGTGGTTGGTGCGTTTCTATCCATCTTTTGTCACAGTTATAACGGTAGTTTTATTGTGAGTCAAATTGTTGGTTGTCCAGTCATTCTTATCTTTATCAGTTTTGCTTGAGTTTGTTGCTTGAGGGCCCTTGTGATGGTAGGTATAGTCAAGAGATCCTCTCTTGCTTTGTGCAAGTTGACTAGTTATATTATTTTATAGCTTCATTGTCTAAGCGCCTAAAAACAAATTGCTTATAGCTTTGGTGTCGTTTTAGTATCACAGTTTTCCCTTGAAGTTTGTTATTTAAACGGCTCACTGGAATGAAAATTGTTAATGAATTCGAGGTGATACAGTAACAAAGCTTCGAAAAAAAAGGGTCTAGAGACTTTGTAGGGTGATCATCATGCGAAGTCCCATTGACTGACGCAAATTGTTTTGGGATCAATGCTGAGTTTCATCTTCATTTCGCTTGATACCAGAGAAAACTAATTGTGATTTTAAGTAGACAGAAGTGCTTTTACACCACGTGACTGACGCCGTCGCTACTACACGAAACTTGCTTGTTTTTCACGAACCTGTGTGTTTATGTTTCGTTGTTTTCCAGTCCTCAAAAACTGACGTTTTTTCTCGGAAACAACGACCAAAACTGAACAAGAAAAGTAAAATATAATTAAACTTTTAAACTATCTGTAAAGACAATGGACCATATGAAACCACTCTCTTTAATTTATTTTGCCATCTTTAATAACTGTTTTCTTTTACACCTCGAAGAAGACTTCTGCCTAGCTATTTAGATAGCTTCAGGTAATTCTATAAATAATATTTTTAAATCCTTATGCCTTTTTGTATGGTTTTCGCTCCATCACGTCCCTACCCGGCAGTATTTTTTGCATCCGTCTAAGAAATTTCTTCCCGCCAACGTGATCAGTTCGCACATGGAGGAAAAAAGTTCGTTTGAAGAGTTTAAAAGAAAACACACTTTCTTTGTGAGCGGCGGTTAAGGCAGAAAGGCCTAGATAATAGATAAACTCTGCGAGATATTTGAAAGCTAATAATTATAAACTTCGTTTATTGTGCGATCAATGTGAGTATCAATACGCTGACGAAACGTTGCCATCATTTTAAGCCCGTCGCAATTGTTTGTTTATCATTCACTGTATCAAACATCTTCGAACGGTATTAATAAAATTCTATAGCTAGTTTATTATTATAACTAGCGGGACCGATTTGCATGGGGTGCTTCACGCTTAAGTTTGATCAAATTATTACTAATTTCCCAATATGGTATTTGCAGCTTATTTAATGGAAAATACAATATCTGGTGTCTTCCCGGGGTGTTGCATTTGCACCCTATTTTTCAACCCCATCATGGGGTTTTTGTATGAACGCCCAACCCCACCGTGGGGCATTTACAGCTTTTCCAGTACAAAATGACAAATGCCCGGGCGCGGGACAGGCACGCCTGGAATTGGATGACTACGTTAACCAAAAGTCGTACTTCTTAATTTATCTTTCTTTTCTTTCAGTTACAAAGACATCCTACCAACACAGAACAGAACAGTTCCTCAAAGGCCTCTCCATGCTGTAATTATAATTAAAATTACGTCGAAAGAACTACAGTGAGTTCTCTCTGCCACTATATTTGTCTCACCTTTAGGTTAATAAATGAAACTTTCTCTTCGACGAAGCAATTAAGAGCAATGAAAGTTAATTAATTATTACTTTTTTTCACGCTTTGCAGGAATGAAATTTTTTTTAATATATATTTTTTTTCATTTGAAGTAATTTAAAGCAACAACTACCTTAAAAGTTTCTAAGGCGTGAATTCACAACAAGCTTCGCGTGACTAAAAAGTAGTTAAATAGCGTGACGTATTGAAGCGTAACACAGACAGTAAACTTGGCGTGACTTCTATCAGGAGAAACGGGAAGTGATACTAATCATATTGTTAAAACTCTCGTCATTCACACAATTAGCCACTGGACGTGACATAAGACAAGTCCTTCGCTGAAGGTATTCTTTTTCATCGAACAAAAAAGCCCTGACATATAGCCCAATAAGTATTTTGTATGGGGAGTAGGCTATATTAGTAACTGAGGTCTAATATTTCATATTTTCATTAACTCGAGAATAAATTAACACTATTGGAGTTATCGATACTGCTACATTAAGAAGAGTAAATATTTATTTTTTTAATGGACATACTGTTTTGTTCAATTGAGTTTATGTCATGCATTCGAAGGTCAGCCAATTTGTCAATTTCCGTGTTTCATTTTAAGGTCTAAAATTTACAAACCTAATCTACATTTAGTTGTCTAAAGGAAGTTGACATGTCGAAAAAACTCGTTAAATTAGCAAACATTGCACTTTCCTAAACCCAGAGGAAAAATTGCACTAGTAGTATCGGGATAGACAAGGTGAAGTGAATGATTTATATACCAATGCGATGTGACAGCGATAAAAAGTTTGTGTATATTTCGCTTGAAAGTCGTGTGCCTTGATTATGGTAAATTGTCAGCTAAGCATGGTTATGTTTTCCTTTTGCTTTTACCACTTGAGTTTCCTTGTGCTAAGGGGTAGCTCAACGAAGCCAGATGTGCGCGTAGTTCTGCTTTATCCACTTAGTTCTTGTGATCAATTAATTACGGATGTACCGTTCAACTCAGCCTTTGATGTAGCAGCTAAGGCGATCAACGATTCGCAAGACTTTAGTTTTACAATGTCGATTGAATCGCACGACACCCGATGTAGTGAGTTGGTTGGAATCAAGGCAATGACGCAGCAATGGAATAGCGCAGTACATGCCTTCATTGGACCGGGTAATGACAGTTTTTGCGCAACATCAGCCAGGATCGCAGCTTCTTGGAATCTTCCTCTCATTTCTTACGTAAGTGCTTGTCGTTTTTTGTTATGACAAGGTTAACAAAGAACTTATTCTACCTCTAAGGTAACTCAGTAAGCGAGTGCATGCTTGACAATCGGCTGTCATCAGATTTTGAATAGCTTATACTATATACAAGCTGAAGTCAGCGTATTCCTGAGTCAATTCCTTGTGATTTCAAAATGATAGCTGGAGCCAGCATACTCGCTATTCTCACAATGCTCATAACGCAGGGTCAGGCATGCGAGAAACCCTGTTTAGTACGGTATAGCATGATGACGCTCATTTTCATCTTTAGCTTAGCATGTTGTCGAACTGGTTCCAAAATAAAGCTCAGGTTTCGCTTGGTTTCTGGCTAATTTCGAACCTAATAGAAGTTTGATACGACGAAACTCAAGGGCCACCACTTTCGTCTTTCCGCGACAGGACGTTTTCAGTATGGTTATTATATACGGTATCTCGATCCAGCCATTAGGTTGCCGGTCTAGTGTTTGATACCCTTAGATAAAGTGTATTCATTAGAGCTATATGTATTTTGTGACTGTATTTTTTTAATTTGTAATTCAAGTCGTTTTTGAGTCAATATAACTGAAGAGGGCCACGTCTTCAGGAAAGCGATTTATTTAACAACATACTTGACCAAAGAAAAACAGTTCTGTGCCTGTCGGGCGGCTTAATTTCTTTATTGCGAACATTTTCAGTCTTTTTAAACTCTACTGAACCTTGCTTTAATTTAGAAGAAAGAAAGGTTTTTTGGCCTGATATATGGTGAGAGCAACACCCGAACTGTAATAAGTTAGGGGAAAAGCCTTTAAGTTAGGCGATATCGTATCAAAACTTCTCTTGTACAGTACTAGTAAAGAGAGTAATTAGGGATAAAAAGGCAGAAAAGGGAGTAATTAGGACTGGAAAACTATACGAACACGTTCTGTACCGTTGAACAAGTAAAATTAAACTGAAATGAAAATTCTTCGAGTATAGGTTGCGTACTATAACCTGTCAGAAGGAGAGGTTGTATCAAATTACAAGGAAAGAAAAGAGAAGATGGCAAAACAAAAGGCAAAACGAATCTAAAGACCTGGATCTGGAACTCATGGTCAACATTTAATGACAGAGCAACTAAAAATGATAGGCAGCTTGTTATTTACTTCTTCCGATCATTTATACTTCAGTAATTCTTGCCATAATCTGAAGACACAGGAAAATGAAGGTTCTCTTATGAGCTCAACATAGTATCATATAATGTATGAAATTAACACTCATGACCTCTCAAAGAAGAATCGGTTCTCGTAATATGTAGAGAAAGAAGAAAAAGACTGTTGTTTGTTTGCCAAACAAATTGTCAGTTGTGAATTCAAAAACGTGTTTGGTGCTTAAGAGTACCGTAACAATGCGTACATCACCAGTACGAAGTAAAACAAGAGAAGGTATAATAATCTTCTCCTAGTTATAACTAATTAGCATTGCATAAAAAAGAAAGCTGCAAGCCAATAGCCGGCCAACCGGGAAAAGGAGGGCTGCTTGAAAAAATGCATACCCGCGCTGAAGTCTCATTCACATGACTGCGAGCATGCGCAGTCTCCTATCTTTCTTCAGTTTCGCAGTTCACAGCAGGCAAGAGAGCAGGCTAATACTAACGCTATCTATCGGGCGACCTTGCTACCCAGCTAACGTTGAGAAAAATCAAGATACTTGTTTTATTATTCAATTTCTGCTTTAGTTCTGTGACGAAGATGTCGTATCAGATAAGAGACTCTACCCAACATTTGCGAGGACAAGGCCTCCCAACTCACAGTTGAGCAAGAGTGTCCTGGCGGTGTTAAACAGATTTTCGTGGAAAGTTGTCGCCATATTGTATTGTTCCAAAGAGAACTGTTTCGGTCAGCAGTCATGGGAGAAAACCAAGGATGATATGAGCAAAGTATTCAAAGACAACAAAATTCATGTTTCTTATGAAGCTAAAATCACGCCTTGGGAACATGAGTTTGAGGAGATTGATCGAGTGTTGGAGGATATCAAAACAAAGGCTCGCGGTGAGTAGAAATGTTTTCTACAATCGCCAGTAAAACAGATACGATTGTTCTTATAACAAGGTTGTTAAAAGCAGCGTTTAAACGTTTATCGTATTTAGTCAATAAAGTATTCATTTGGTTATTCCTGTGATACACACGGAGACACTTATACGGAGATTAAACAAGGCAGCACTTGAGGCGTTCGGTTCCGAAGGCACGGAGAAAAGTAATAAACAACTGTTTCGTATTCGGCCGGACGTCCTTGAAAGTTTTTAGTTTATTTCCTTTTAAGGCTATACTTCTGTTTTGAGCTTCTGCCAGTTTTTTCCAATAAGTTATATTCGTTTTCAGTAACTATCTACAAGAGAATTACTTCAGGGACATAGAGAACTGCTTCAGGGACATAAGTGTCGCTCGAAACACTCACTGTTAAATGAATAAAGGGATGACTAAGTCAATAGAACTTCTATTTGCCAGTTGAACTGGCACTGCGTCAGTTGGAAAGAGTGAATTAAACTCGCAAGGATTTCAGTACTCTTATCTGACTATATCAGTGATGCGCTGACGAAGCTAATGTTTTAATGGCAGCTAGCTTGTGACTAAAGCCGTCTCTGCCCGCTTCTCGCCGCTAGAGACGTTCCGCGGGAGAGAAATTATGGGCTTTAAGATCCGAAGACGAGACGGCAGCGAAAACGTAGCTCAAAAAGTGAATTTGCGTTCTTTTAGCCTTCATCGCGACTATTCCTAACCACTTACTTTCAATTTTCAAAATGCAGGCGAACCCTCCTGGAGCTGAATTTGTAAGAACCATGCTCTGTTTCAGAGAGAGAAATGAAATTTCGTCGTCGATTGGGCGCTTCTTTACGTCCCCACAAAACGTTAGATTAGGTATTTCCACGTCGTAGTCGTGCAAAAACGGTAACGAAATGTACAAACAAGCGTGATTCACGTGTAAAGTCGTTGTTTTGCTTATCATGAATTAAAACCTATTGCTTTTTTTGACGTTCTCGTTGCCGTCGCGTCGTTGTATCTTAAAGTCCTAGCGGCGAGGGGCAAAGAGAGATGGTTCTATTCGCAGCTAAACACCAATTTCTTTTAACTAAGGGAGCGTTCGATTGATCTTATTTCGAAAAAAGAATGCATGGGACAGCATACTCTAAAATTGGCTTGTTTGGTGGCTTCATTGTATGATACAGTGAAAAAATCTAGTAGACATAAAAAAGTAAGATGATTGTAGCATTCAAATGGTCAAAAACTGAATGTGTGGTTGAAGAGGTTTGTCAACATTTTCTGTGTATTCTTATTAACTCAGGAAAGCGATCAATCGTAAAGCACCCTAAAATTTTTCGACGAAAAACTTTAAGTTACACGTGTGCAATTTATAATTCCACTGTTAGTCCCAATTCTTTTCTTTCCTTTCAGTCGTCATACTGGCCACAAATCCAGAGAATACACCATTTTTTATGACACGCGCAAGAAAAAAAGGCATGACCAACGGTGATTACGTGTATATCATGAGCACACTTTCTGACGTTCAGGATCAGGGTACGGATTACTGGTTGCAGGGAAAGGGCGGAATAGTGAATGAAAATGAATCAAGAAAAGCCTTGCAGTCGGTTCTTGCACTAGTTCCAAAGCCATTCAACCTCACTAAGTACAATGACTTTAAAAGGCGACTCATTGGTGAAGCAGAGGACGTAAACTATACCCTAGAGAGTGTAAGTATAGAATCACTTTGATTTTCAATGTATCTTCTTAATTTCCTAAAAGCCAGGTATCTAAATCTAAAACTTTAGCGGGTCGTGGGATTTACCTTTATTTGTACGAAGTAAATGAGATTTACTTCACTGGTGCTCGGATGTAACCACTGGGAAAGAAAGGGATAAACAATTTCTCAAACTGGGAATAGAATTTCTCTACTTTCACGATCTTCGACTATATTATTTGACACAATTGCTCCATCAAATGTGCCTATTTTTTGAAATAAAAGAAATAACAATCTGTACCAATAGACCTCAGTAGACATGTAAGATTATGTCAGTTTTTTTCCTTTGCACCTAACCCTCGCCGCAACCCAGTAAGCTGGTGTGGGGTCATTTCATCAAGCTCGTCCCTGGGTCTTCTTGTTTTCCAATATGGCGGCGGCAGGAAAGAAGCCACCATCAGTTCGAAAACGAGAAGACCCTGGTGACGAGGGTGGTTGTCGGGGAATGAAACGCGCGCGTTGGCACGTGACAGAGATCAAAATGGCGCCCGATTTGGGATGTGTTCTACCCGAGGTCTCCTCTCAGCTGCGGATCTGATAAACTTTCGCACAAACTCATTCAAATGATCAGTCCAAAGAATTTTATCTGCGGCGCACGTAAACAAAACCTACCTGGGGCGTGTTTCTCGAAAGTTCCGGTAACTTTTCGGGCCCGGAAAGCTGTTTTGTGTTTCTTGTGTTTGCATTCAGCAAAGCAAAGCAAAGTTTCAGTAATTCTGAGGATAATAAAATGAAACTGTCAGTTGACGAAGCAAAATTGACTGGTTTGTGGGCTAGAACTGTGCTTACTACTCAACTGGTTTGGATTTTGAAATTTGCCTTCAGGCCCGAAAAGTTTCCGGGCCTTTGGAGAAACGGGCCCCTAGTTTGATTGATGTATTGATCGCACATTAATCAACACTACCAGCACCGCACCAATCAGAATCTGCGTTCCTGGGCAAACGCCTTTTTTTTAGGATCGTGGGTTCGGGGACGAGCGTTTCCTTTTCTCTCCTCCCCCTTCATTCCTCTGTTATGTTCTCGTCCCAACTTTCCTGAAAAATTCGGGTGGAAACCCTTGCTACGCAAACTACCTGCGAAGGTTCTCGCGTGCACAGATCAACGAGACGATTACAGCAGTAGTGAAAGTAAAGACAGTGATTTGGATGAGGCCGGTGCAAATAACAGAAGTGGTTTTAATATGGTTGTGCCAACAAAGGTTGGAAGGGAAAGAGTGTTCACCAGCAGAATAAAATATTTTCTTCAGTACAGGTGACGGTACATTATACAAACGGTATCACAATGCTTTTACTTCATTATGTGCATCATGCAGTTCGTAAACGAGCACTGGAAATGGGATTTCAGATTTGGTTACTGGGATTCGTACCAAAAATTAATTTGGCTGGGAACTGTGATCTGGATCAAACTTGGGTAGGAACTGGGATTGGTTATCCCCATTCAGGTTAAATAATATTCATTTATTTCGACTCCTGTTGGGAGTATTCGGATTATTTTCCTAGTCGCCTGTGTCACTGACTGAGGAGACAGCTTTCTCAAGTAACCACCATACTTGAAATTCACCATCACGTCTCTTTCACTCATTGCGCATGCGCATAAGTACATATCGACATTCCACTACTAGCAGTATGCAGGATGTGAAAGGTTTGAACGCAGGAGTCATTTCAAAAGTAGGTTGAGTTTGATTGTCCGAGTGTTTGTCACATAAATCTAGTTTAGTGGCCTTAGCTCCCACGAGTCTCCTGTGGCTCAGTGGTAGAGCTTCTGGGTTAGAATCAGAAGGTCATAGGTTTCACTCCTGTTAAGAGTACTCGCGGAATTTTTCTTCCGAGCCACCTGTGTCACTGAAAAATTTCTCGTTAATCCTAAATCTAATAACTGCTTTTAATCTTGTAGGTATGGCATTATGCCACTTATCTATATGACGCGGTCTTTTTATACGCGTTGGCGCTTAATAAAACCCTTTCAAATGGCACAGACCCACGTGACGGAACTGCAGTATTTCACAATTTGAAACAAACTAGTTTTGAAAGTAAGTCTGTTATCTCAGAATTAATAATAATGAAATATTTTTCCTTGTTATTTGCATATGTTATTTATACTGTAAGTAGTATGGTTTATAAAACTCGATCTTAACAGGCTGCAATAGATGTAGATCAGTGGCTGGAGCATCCGAACTAGAACTCGGAGGGTCGTGAGTTCGTGTCTTACCTAGAGCTCGGAATGTTTTCTGAGTTTTCTGGTGTTGGATTTCTCCTGTCTTTTTTCTTGGGTCGCAACAGAAACAAGGACTAAGATTTGTTTCCGTGTTATTAACACAAAAAACTCCAAGATCCTCACAAGACAACGTTCAAAACGAACTCTATGTGGCCGCCCAAAATTCGATCACCATAGAGATAAAAACTGCACCTGCAGTTTACCTCCTTACCGAAGTTGTATAGAGCATTTTGGAAATTTTTTGCAGGAAACAAATGGCAGTCTACCCGACATCGGTCCTCTTTCGAGCTGTATATGTAAGGGGGAGCTACTCGTGATCTGCACTAACGCGCGTAGTAACCAAGTCCATGATACTGGTGCAATCATTGTTAATACAGTCATGTAGTAAGGATGAATTCGAGAAATTGTGAGCTCTTATGTCCTTTCTTGATCGTTTGCAAGGAAATGGATTCCTTGTAACTCTTTTAATATCTCACTAGGTGTCACCGGATTTTATGTTCATGTCGATGATAACGGGGACTCAGAGTTTAACATGACACTTCTTGATTTTGTTCAAACGGTGGATGACGAGCTAGGTGAGTTCTGTTTGAGCTTGAAAAATTTATATAAAGCTGGTAATCTCTAATGTACAAAAAAGTACGTCAGTCAGTCTCTGTTCAGCAAACTACAGTGGCGTCATAATATAAGTTGTATGTTGGCCAAGGCAAGTTTATCTAAAGGGGATTGAATTGCAGCCTTCGCTGCCCAAGTTGAACGTTTTTGGCGTGCAATCATCCCTCATTTATCCTGCTCCTCGCCACCTTACAAATTCAGAGATGTTTGGCTCTTGATCAGGTTGCGCACAATCTTAAACTCTTTAAACCAAGCGACAGTCATCTGTGACTGTGGTATTAATAGTTTGTGGTGGTCGGTAACCTTGCCAAGCGATGTACGACTGAATAGTTCTTTATTTTAGAATGGAATAATTCTTTTAAAACAGGGTAAAATAAAAATTATAAATTATAAAATTAAACTATAAATAACGTAAACGTCCTAAACAAAATTCAAAACTAACTAAAGCTAATATAACTTTTATCCTCTTTTTATGAAAGCCGTGTATCTTTATTACGAAAAAATAAGATTAACTAATATACAGGTTTAATAGCAGTTTTACAGCAGAATTTCCTTCTGGGCATGGCAGACTGCCACTTAAGGCTAAACTATCTTTACTAAACCGGATCACTAGTTTGAGGATTCACACAGTTCAGATGGTATGTCTGCCACAGGCTGTCGAGAGCCGATTGCCAATCGGCTACTGAGGCCGTGTATCACGCATATCCCATAAGGAATTGTAGCGAATGAGAGTTCATGTCAACACTGCCCTGAAATAAAAGCCCTGGGGCCTCCAACAAAAGAACTTATTATCCATATATAGGTTTGGGTCACTCTTCCTCTTATATGTTTCCATAGAAACGAAAACAGTTGGTGAGTTTAAGCTAAGTCAGTCAGGAAAGCAAATTTTGGAATTAATGCCAGGGATTAATATCACGTGGTCTGAGGATGGTCAGCGGACAACTCCACCAGGAGATACGCCACCTTGTGGGTTTAATTTGGAGTTTTGCCAAACACCATCACCAAGTAAGTGCCGCCGACACAATTGTATTTGTCTTTTTTTAACAAAAGGCTGAATTCACACATGATCATGCAACAACAGTGCGAGCCATCGAAAAACGAAAAGGAACACCTACTTTTTACAGACACGTTACGTGAGACGTTACAAGACATAAATTTAGTTTTTCCGCATGCGACTGGGGGATCTTGCATTCGAATGCGAGAATAGGCAAGCTTTTTACCGGTTTGAAAACTTGTCAGAACGTTGCAAAGTTCGCTTCAAAACACCAGGCAGTCTCTAACTTCACTTTGTTCAGTAATGCCAGTGTTCTGGCTTGATCTTTTTTCTTTTTTTATTTCTTTTTGTTGTTGTTGTTGTTGTTGGCTTAATTAACTAACTATCTTCCCAGGTCCTACCACATCCACTGACAAAGTGTACATCATAATCTCTGTCATCGGTTCTGCACTTGTCATCGTTTGCACAGTCTTACTCGTCTTCTATGGCAGGTAACATCTAGCTGCCATCTCCTTTTTTACCACAGCAAAAAGAAAAAAAACGCGATCCACCTATGATCTTTTAGGGTTCGGAAGACAGGATGGTTTCACAATTTAATTGCAACTGTACTTCGAATTACAACGGGCTTTTATGCACATATAAGCATCTCGTCAGTTTACAAATTGAAACGTATCTTATGCTATTCTAGTAATAATACCAACAACAATAATAATAGTATCAGGCAGTAGTACTTTTTACCTTTTTTGCCAGCGAGTATGACTCTGCCATAGGAACTTACTCTGAGCTACTTTTTGGCTCCAAATTCTTGACTTCTTCGAACCAACCAAACGCTAAAAGGAGAGGGGCAAAGAACGGATGAAAAAAAAATCCAAAGCTTAACCGCGAGATTTCATGCACACGCATGTAAGCGTTCCTTAAATAGTCCGAAATATCGTTAAGCGATACCGCTTTCAAAGCAGTCTTATCCCCTGCTACTGACGGTTTCTCGTTTCACAAATTCGGCTATCTCTCCTTGCCCCTTTAAAATTTTAATCATTCCTTGATATCTTAGCTATAGCCGACTTATCTCAAAACATAGCTTTTAATTTTAATTTTATTTCACGATTAGGAAATACACATTTGAGAAAGAACTTGCGAATCAAATATGGAGAGTGAACTATAATGATATTGTCATTGGTTCTAATGCTGGCCTTTCAAGAACAACGTCAAGAATTTCAGACGTGAGTGAGGTCAGTAAGCCAGACAGTAAATTTACAAGATATTAACTGAATAATCTCTCTCGCGCTTACTGGGAGAGAGCTGTAGTGTAAGAAGGCTTTTAAAATATGGACCCTTAATTAAATTAGAGTACATTAGGCTACTTAAGGTTATTGGCACTGAAATGTGTACTTTTAGTTTACACAGGTGAGCAGAACTCGGCGCGGTACATTGGGAACGTATAAGGTAAATTAAAGTTAACATTTTTCATAGTTAAACTATTCACATCCTTAGGAGCCTTTACACCGAAAGAAATTTTCGTAACATTCTCTTTTCAGGGCTTCAACACGATTCGAACCCGTGACTTCCGCGTTACCGGTGCGTTGCTCTACCAACTGAGCTATGAAGCCACACACATTGGGAGCGAGATCAATTTATTGAGTTCATATCTCCCGTGAGGAGTGAAATGATGTGAAGTATATATCAAATAATTCATTTTTGAACTGCGGTTGTAAATGAAAGTGATCTTACTAGTAGCGTCATTTAAAAGGTTAAATTCGTTAACCTTTCTTCTTCGGACTTTTTTTAGTCCCGAAGTTGCCCTAAGCTTGGGCACTGGAGGCGCAATGGCCACGCAACGAGATGGAACTGAGCTACGAAGTCACACACATTGGGAGCGAGGTCAATTTATTGAGTTCATATCTCCCGCAGTTCAAAAATGAATTATTTCATATATACTTCACAGCATTTCACTCCTCCTCGCTTTCCAATTGCTTAAAAATCCCATGACGCAGGAAAATTCCACGTGAAGTGTTGGATAGATATCATCTGCACCTGACAGTTGACCATTTTGTAACAGGTCATTTAGAAAGAAGAGTGATTTGATAGTCAATTTTGTTGCTGTTGTTGTTGTTTTTAGGGAAATCAGGTGGTTATCAAGCGAATCGATAAAGATAACATCGATTTAACGAGAACTGTGCTCCTGGAATTAAAACAGGTCAGCAAAAATACCCTTTCTCTGAGGGCCAATTAAGTAAATAAAATGTAAGACAGTGTAATTCATAGGTTTAGCGATTGTTTATAGAATCTGAAAACATTCGCTACACTTGCAAATTAAAAAACTGACATACCCCTGTATATTTCCAAAATCAATAATCACAGCAAAAATATTGATGACATCGTTCCGTGTATCCTGTTTCACAGATTCGTGACGTGCATCACCCAAATTTGACCAGGTTCTTTGGTGCATGTGTGGACGCTCCAAACATTTGCATTATCACTGAGTATTGCTCAAGAGGAAGTTTACAGGTAAATTAGGACCCACTTCACAGGGGTCCGGACAAATTTTTGAATGGACGAATTTTTTTAGCAGTACAACCCGTTTACCCGGAACCGTTCAAATTCTGTTACTTGCACAATTTGCCATGCGTTCAAAAACTTGCACGGTTCTGCTGGATCTAGTATAAACGAAAGGCGGATCCGTACAAGATTTTGCCCGTTCAAAAATTTGTCCGGATCAGTGTAAACGGGGTCTAATACTACCTGAATTTAATAAAACGTTGTCTTCAAAATGAAATTTATCATGTTTAGGATGTAAATAACATGGATACAAGGGCACTTAATAGTCGAACCACTTCATCTTATTTGTTTTTGTTTTTACTTTTGTAAGTCATCTTCAAAAATAACGATGATGATGATGATGATGATGATGGTGATGCAAATCTTGAAATGTACAGATACTTTGGGTAAATAAATTTCTTCATCTTTTTTGTCCTTTTGCAGGAGATCATTTTGGATGAAGAGATTAAACTGGACATAATCTTCATTAATTCCTTTATTCTGGATATCACAATGGTAAAACATACTACGTACTTCAGTTGGCGATATTTTCCTAGTTAACAGCTCATCGAAGTTGATACATTCTAGAATTTCTTATCGTCCTTCCTGCTTTACACTTCCTTCTTTGGCTTTACCTAAGACATGAGTTTCTTTGTACCTGTAATCTTGTGCAGTACCCATACCTGGCTCGGCCAGACGATGACAATAATAAGATCATTGGTTAGTTCCGTCAGCAATAGCCATGTTTCACACCGATCATACGCCAAACGCACGGATTGCTAGTGGCAGGCCGCCGCATCATCGATATTGCGAATAGTAGGAAAGACAAAGGCACTAGTGGTAACTTCAACAACCCGGGCGAAGCAGACCTCATAGGCCAGATTAATCAGCAAAACAACAACTCTGCATGTGCATCGGGGCTTTTAATACATTTTATCCCTGTTACTGCAAGTTTACCGGGAGAAACGTTCAAATATGACGTTTTATACAGGACGTAAATACACTGAGACCAATTTTTCTTTCTTTTTTTCGCACTTGAATACACCACCTAATAACACAATTCCAGGGATAACAGCACACCATTGACAAATTGCATGAGTGACTTGGAATAATCAAGATTAAGTTTCAATGGAAGTGACCTGATTGCTGAAGACCCCCTAGAAGATAATTGAACAAGTAATAGTGATGCGGACAATATTTAATTACTGCGTGGTCTTAAAGAAAGAGCCAAATGTCTCTTCTTCAACGGTGCAATGTAATAGCTCATGATCTCTAATGGGCAGAATTGTGCATTCTGTTTATGGTTGAACTGTAATACTCGACCCATTCATTATGTTAAAGTTTCCCTTTTTACATCTTCAGCTGATATGAACGCTGAAATTGTTTTCCCTACAGGGAATGGAATATCTACACAGTGTAGATATCAAGTATCATGGCCATTTCAGCTCCTCCAAGTGCGTGGTGGATAACCGCTGGATGTTAAAGATCACTGACTATGGGCTCAGAGAGTTCAAGGCTCTAAGAGGTGACTCTAGCTCATTTCCCAGGGGACACAACTATCAAATGGATTACTCAAGTATGCTTCAGTTTAGTGACGATTGTCTATGTTAATTCTTGGTCAAACAGACAACAGAAACAGTCATCTTCACAATAATTGGAGTTACTGTTGCGAAATCTCTAGAGACAATAATCCTCGCTTGGAGGCATCGATCTGCATATGGCACTGAGGTCTTGAACTTGAGTCAACTTCGCAGGCATCTCGGCGTTAAATACATTGACTGCCTTGGTTGCCGGTGACTTCTGTTCTCATATAGGAGGAGTATCCCGGGTAGTACCAGTGTCTATGTAGCAAGTAGCTCGTCGGCATATGAGAAACAGACCATAATCAGTCTAGATCATTCATTAACTGTCGATGAAAGGGTTTATACATACAAAAACGTATATTTTTCAAGTTGAGCTTTCCAGTTACAACACTACACAATCAATGTGATCTATTATTTCAGAATTGTTGTGGACTGCTCCAGAAATTTTACGTCAGAAGGACAACGTTTTAAAAGGAACACCAAAAGGAGATGTGTACAGCTTTGGAATTATAGTTCACGAGCTGGAAACTAGAGATCTGCCATTTGGTGCGTGCCATCTTGTGCCAGAAGGTAGGCAAAATAGGCAACTGTTAGAATACTCGATAACGAATGTGATGATGGCGATGATGATAAGGAGGGAGGAAGAAAGATGATGATTACGATGGGTGACGATAAAAAATGATTTTGGTGCAGAAGATAGTGATAATGCAAATAGAAATAATTATGATGATAACGAATATGATGATGATGATGGTGGTGGTGGTGGTGGCGGTGATGATGATGATTATGGAACAATTAAAGGTTGAGTTGAATAAAATAAGGGCATGTTGCCACTTAAGATACTCAACGTGTACAAGCCGCTATCAGGTTTAGCTTTGCCTTAAGCGGTAAACAGAGCTAAGCTACACGACCTATGGTTTATCGAGTAGTCTGATCGATATATTTGGTCAGACGTCTTGACAAATTCGTTGTTGCTATGTTTTTAAGATGCAGATTTTTGTATTTCATTATAGAAATAATCGGACGTGTTTTAGCTGGTACAAATCCTCCTTTTCGACCTCCACTTACCGCCAACGTGACAAATGAAGATCTTCACTTTATAATGAAACTGTGTTGGAAGGAAGACCCAGAAGACAGACCAGACTTTTTGGAGATACGAAAGATGCTGAGAAAACTCCACGGTAGAAAGTAAATTCGATTTCCTATCTCTAACTAATTCATCGTTTTGACATAACGTCACGGCGACCATATCGCTGCACCAAAACAACGAAACGGAGGCCATTTTAGTTTACCATGAAAAACACACCATAAAACCGCCAGCTACGCAGGCTAACTAACGAAGTATAGTGATTGACCTTTTTTTCGTGTAAAGACTTCATTTTTTTGCAAGACATTTGTATGCCTGCTTACCACGACAGTGGAACGATTTATACAAAAGATTCCAATAATGTGAGCAAAAACTGGCTGCGCCCCAAAGAACAGTATTGAAAAGCCTTGAATCATGCCAAATTCATTCAATGAGAACTTAGTTTCTTTTTTTTTGTTTGTTTGTGTGTTTTTTGACGAATAAGAGTGAACATCATTGGAAGCCGTTGCCCCAGTTTTACAGACTTCTGGATCTTAAAAGGGAGTCTACGATATCATCTCTGGTTGCATTGAATTTTTAAAAACCGCAGTAAAAAATTAACACATGAAAACCTTCCCATAATAAAAGCAGTGTCCATGTTCCAACTCCCGATTTTTTTTACAAGTACAGGTTAAGTACATGGTAAATGCATAAATGGACTACGCTCTATATTTTTGTTTTTCGCAAAAAACGAAACGATGCTGGACTAACGATGTAATTCTAAAATCACCTACGGCCAATTCGTCTATGGGTAGCTCAACAGCTTAACTCGCCACAGTGCAGTGCTTTTCTTGAACAGATGTTTTAAACAGAGCTACTATTTACCTAGGCGTATATTGGTATGAGGAAACTCTCTACAGCTCAAGATTAGAAGATTTTTAATGAAACATAGATTTTGGAAGAAAAAGAAACACCTTTTTACCTTTATACTAAGTATGCCACGAGTAAAAGCTGAATAGATTTAATTTTTTTTAGAAATACTTTTGGTAACATTACAGTAGACTCCCGATAATTCGAACCTTCAAGGGAAAGAGAAAAAAATTCGAGTTATCGAGGGTAAAATGAAAATTGCTTCGAGTTAGCGGGAGGTTCGAGTTATAGAAGGTTCGAGTTATCGGGAGTCGACTGTATTACCATTTCTATTATGGCTGATTTTATTTCTTTGTGTTTTAAGTATGAATTCATGGTAACGTAAAAAACTTTGCCACATTCAACTTGTGGATTTGCCACCCTTTAGGACCAATCTCGTCGACAAAATAATTTACATGTTAGAAGAGCATTCTCACAACCTCGAAAAACTAGTAGAAAAGAGAACGGAGCAGTGGATTGAGGAGAAGAAAAGAACTGAGGAATTGCTACACAGTATGCTACCAAAGTAAGCCCATTCATTTTTATATGCCTGTCATCAATCTAGTTGTAGTGGTGCTGGTGGTGGTGGTGGTGGTGATGGTGATGGTGGTGGTGGTGGTGGTAGTGCTGGCGGTGATATGGTGATGCTGGTGCCTGTTGTTGGTGGTGGCGATGATGACGGTGGTGGTGTTGGTGGTGGTGATGGTGATGGTGGTGGTGGCAGCGATGGTGGTGGTGGTGGTGATGATGATGAAGTTGTAGTGGTGCTGGTGGTGGTGGTGGTGGTGATGGTGATGGTGGTGGTGGTGGTGGTAGTGCTGGCGGTGATGGGGTGGTGCTTGTGCCTGTTGTTGGTGGTGGCGATGATGACGGTGGTGGTGTTGGTGGTGGTGATGGTGATGGTGGTGGTGGCAGCGATGGTGGTGGTGGTGGTGATGGTGATGATGTTGATGGTGGTGGTGGTGGTGGCGATGGTAGTTTTGATGGCGATGGTGATGGTGGTGGTAATAGTGATGGTGGTGGTGATGGTGGTAGTGGTGTTGATGGTGGTGGTGGTGTTGGTGTTGGTGATGGTGATGGTAGTGTTGATGGTGATGGTGATGGTGATGGTGGTGATAGTGATAATGATGGTAGTGGTGTTGGTGGTGATGATGATGGTGGTGGTGATGGTGGTGGTGGTATTGATGGTGGTGGTGGTGTTGGTGGTGGTATTGATGGTAGTGTTGATGATGATGGTGATGGTGGTGATGGTGATTGTAATGGTGATGGTGATGGTAATAGTAATGGTGATGGAGATGGTGGTGGTGGTGGTGATGGTAGTGTTGATGATGATGGTGATGGTGGTGGTGGTGTTGATGGTGGTGGTGGTGGTGATGGTAATGGTGATGGTGGTAGTGGTGGTGGCGATGCTGGTGGTGGTGGTGCTAGTGGTGATGATGAAAATGGTGATGGTGGTGCTGATGGTGTTGGTGGTGGTGATGGTAGTGATGGTGGTGATGGTAGTGGCGATGGTGATGGTAGTGTTGATGATGATGGTGAAGTTCTGGTGGTGATAGTGATTGTGGTGCTGATTCCTGGGGATGGGGGAGGTGATGATGGTGGTGGTGGTGGTAGTTAAAGTGATATAAAGTTGAAGGTGGTGGTGGATAAGATGGTGATGGTGGTGGTGTTTTTAGTGATAGTAGTAGTTACTGTAGCAGTTAGAGCAAGAATTCAAAGATGTGTCTTCACAATGAGATCGCTCTCAATTATGTTTGTCAGGAGCGTCGCCGATCAGCTTAAAAGTGGTCGACCAGTTGAGGCCGAAAGCTTTGACGAAGTAACTTTATTCTTCAGTGACATCGTCGGCTTTACAGCACTTTCATCAGAAAGTACACCTCTGCAGGTAGAGTCACTGTTCTTCGGACAAAAAAAAGCTGGCATAAAACTTTACCATTATTTATATCTGTACCTGAAACCAAGAAAATACATTTTGGTTTTTTATTTGTCAGCTGCTATTCAGTCCAGTAATTACTCAGTTCCGAGTTTCGAACCGTGTTCAAGTTGCTTTATGTTTTTCCTTATAATTTTGTTGTAATATTATTTCTTTTTAATCGTTCTTTGTCTCTTAACAGATCGTCACCTTACTTAATGATCTTTACTCTACGTTTGATGCTATAATTCAAGGTTATGATGTTTACAAGGTTTGCAAGTTCTTATATACACTTAACGTTCTTGTACAGGTCAAGAGTTGAATTTTGAATTTTCTTCAAATTCGTAGTTACCATGAGACCGGACAAAGATTAAATTCAAAAAGGCATCGTGTTGACTGCAAAACAGTCGCCTCCTTTTTCTTCGAAATTAACCGCTGCTCGTAACCGAAGAGGCGCCAAAGGCTAATCAGATCTCAAAGTGTCTGTGTAAATTTAAGATTTTTTTATCATTTTATTCGGTGTTCAGGAGGGAAACCAATATTTTACTGCATAGCTTAGGGCTGTGCGTTTAGAAAATTAAGGGAAAAATAAGAATTTAAGGAATAAGAATCCGCCCCTAGCCAGGGGAATCACCCTCTCGCCGTATGAAAGAGACAAAATCGTATTTACAGTATCAACTAATTTCTTCACCTTTTTCCTAGACCTTCTTTTTTGGCTTTGACAAGTGATCTCGGTCTTGGTTAATGAACAAACAAGGCTTTTTTGTCATTTACAAATCTAGGCTTCGTAAAACTGATAGAAACCATCTCAATATCATGTTATTTACGGTGTAAATAACTTTTAAGTTATTAAAATATCTCCTAGGTAGAGACCATTGGTGATGCGTATATGGTAGTGTCAGGTTTACCAGTCAGAAACGGCCACCAGCATGCCTTGGAAATAGCTGATATGGCGCTTCATCTGTTGCAATCAGTTCAACACTTTAAAATAAAGCACCGGCCTGACGAGAAGCTAAAGCTAAGAATCGGCATTCACAGTGGTAAGGACAGGACCAAATTACTCACGGTTCAATCTTCATAATTAAGCAACTCCATGTTTTCCGTGATTTTTCCGATATTTCGGGCTCGGAAACAAAAATGAAAAGATCCTGGGGTTACTTTCACCAGGCTTTTCAGAGAGTGAAGGGAGAACTATGGCTGGGAAAACTACAGCAGAATTCAACCGTCTTTTTGTTCCCCTGATGGAAAAAAAGCCAAAATACTGTAGATCATCATTATCACAGGGTTCCATGGTAATGGACTAAGAAACTTAGTCCTTATCAACCATCGACTACATAACCAAAAGCTTCCTTATAACGTTCTGCCCATATATAAACGGCTCAACCCGTGAATGGTGTTAAATTCAAGTTTGAAATTGGGAGATATTTTTCCAGATACTCCAGTTTTCCTCTGTCCTAATATAACAATATTTGCAAATTCCAACCCGATCTGAAATATTAAGCGAAGAAACACTTTCATTGTCGACACATGATCATACTAAATATTAATGTTAATATTATTTATTTTACTGTTTATGTCATGCTGTCGAATTGAAGGTCCCGTATGTGCAGGAGTAGTTGGCTTAAAAATGCCACGATACTGTCTTTTTGGTGATACAGTCAACACTGCCTCAAGAATGGAATCAAATGGAGAGGGTCTGTACTTACTTAATATTTATTCTTAAAAATGTATCATTAAATGAATAATAAACGTTCTAAATAATGTAAAGATTATTTTAACTAAAGTTTCATTCACACCGAAGCTTAATCACGTTTAAAGGCTGTTTACTTCATTAAAGCTGCTTACTGACGTAAGTTGATAGCAGATTTAGTGCAAATTACAGAACATGTGGAATTTCCTTTGAATTCTGCGTATTAAAAAACCTGTGCCGGTTCCGGTTTTCCGTGTCTGTTTTTCATTTTTTAAAACCTGGTTTATTCAAACAATGTTTGGTTGGTGTGAATGAGGCATAAATAAGCAAGCACACTTTCGACCTGTAATCTTGTTATCCTTCGTGAACAGCTCTTAAGATACATATCAGTGGAGCCACTAAAGATTATCTAGAGAAAATTGGAGGATATGTGATGGAGGAACGAGGATCAATTGTTATCAAGGTGAGAATGGCCTTTTTCTATCTTTTCGCGGTTAGGATACTGATGAATTTTATATAATTATTTTCTTTCTTGTCAGCTATTTGTAGAGTATGACCTGTAAGACCGGGGGTTACTTAGTCGTGTAGGATATAACACAAAGATTTAGCCAAGGCTAAAAGCGTAGCTCCATTTGATACAATTATACTGATTATTTGCTTCAAACAATAAATTTGGAAAAATTGAAAAGAAGGGAGGACCAAATGCCTTTTGAAGGAGGAGTTCCGCGAGGGCTACTACTTCATGTATTACAAGGCGGTATGTCAAAGGGTATGGTTTTTGTCCCAATTTGGTTTGAAATTGGTTACAGTTCTCGGGTCAAAGATGGGATATGTCTTGCTGTAATTTCTTGGGTGAATCCATAACGACCATGACATAAGCATATTAAAGTACAATCACGCCTATGCTTTTTCTTCATTGCTAGTGAGGACCAAGCTTAAAGGAATCAAGAGTTCAGAAGCGTCTTGACTTCTTTGATCATATGATTTATTCTATTTATTTTCCTTTATAGGGTAAAGGAACACTAGTAACCTACTGGCTGCAAGCAAGACGTCCATTTCCTCAGTTATTAGATGCCAATGAAGTTCACAAAACGTACTCCCAGTCAAGCAAATTTTCCTCCTCGGCAATAGAGGTGGAGCTGGAACACGATAAAAACGCGACTGCAAAGATATGTAACAAATACAACAACGAAGATTCAGAATATGACTCGTACATGAAGAAAAATAAGATTGATCAGTTCAAATATGTATAAAAGTATGTTTGCCACACTGGTTACTGCACATCCGCACTCTAAAGAAATAAAAATGTATTAACATTGTAAAGCCCATTAATTCGCCTCTATGCAGAAACAGTAACATTTCTTCCCATTCCATTTGCCTTGTGACTCGTCACGTGATTCTTATAAAATATTTGACATGCCACACTGTTGTCAAACTGGAATTTTCGTGTACATGCAGGATTTTGTAAAGTAGGCATATGCCGAAGTTCGTACTTTGATATTTGGGAAGCTGTTATTTACATCAGTGTCAATCGAGACCTGGTATAAGTCATAACATATTGTCTTACAGTCCTTTTGAAAATATTATTTAAGGGTGATATCAGGTGGTGGTAGTGAACGCGATGCCGGTGAAGTTATAAAAAAAAGTCAAATTTAAAACTGAAAAGGAAAACCAAGTAATAAAAAAGCGTGAAGTAATTTCACAACATTTGCTTTCGAAAGTCGTCATTCGTAATATTCGGAGATATTTGATTTCGCTTTAAATAAAGTTAATGAATGAACGAAATGACGAAAGAAAAGAAATTAAATGATGAACAATGCATACGTTGCTGTCGGCTTTTCATTCTTCTTCATCATCGCCTTCTTGGATTGAGCTGACACAGTCTTCGATCAAGAGGAAAAACCCACAGGTAACCCAGGCTCTGTGATAGTACCACACAGGAGCCCATCATGGGCTCCTGTACCACAGTGCGGTTCCAGTAAAATTACAGTCAGTGTTTGTATGGGTAAAAGTACGATCCTAAAATTTGTAGGAAATGCTAAATAGAGGTCAATGAAACTTACTATGCAGTTAGTTGTTGTCCTTAATGCTCAAACGAATTTTCGTGATAATTTGCTCAAATTTACCCTCCATACAATATAATACACAAGGAAGGAAGCATCACAGGCAGCCCAGACGTAATGTGTGTCAATAACATGGACAAAATGGGATGACTCGTCGAATCTCCCATGTGACACTTTTACGAGTCGCTACATTTAATAACCCTATTATCGAACTAAAATAGCCCAGAAGTCAAAATATAACAAAACAAAGCTAACATGCCTTTAACTGAGCGTCTCCTTGTCGGTCCTGGCCAGTTAAAGTAGCATTTTGTCGAGTTTTGTACTCGTAGGTACTATCCACTAGAGAAGAATTAAAGGCTTGCTACAAGGAAAACGGACCATCTCCATGCGAAGCGCTATGAATTTGAGAATAATCAACGAATCCTTTTCAAATTGCTGTCGGCTAATCTGCAGGAAAGTGTCGGCTCCGGCTTCTTGCTCTCTGACTCCCCAAACCCATCGCAACTGCACGATAATCGCCGGCTAAAATCATCAAACACTTGACCTTTACGCTCCGCCATGACCCGCAAACGGGTAGAATTACTACGCGATTTGAATATTCAAGCCAGCGACCACAGAGCCTGGGTTACCCGTGTGGCAGAATTATTGATGATTTGACTGTTTGCGTGCAAACACTGTTTTTTTTTTTTTAATTGCTTATATTCCTTGTTTTTAAGTTACTAAGTGATGCTCAGTGCATACCAGTATCGATGGAAAGTCAGGGAAAACTAATTTGTTTTCAATTAGGAGGTTGCATGTGTTTTTGTTACGCTGGTTACAAATATCTCAACATCATTCCAGTTTTGAGCTAGCCAAATATATAGCGTTGACTTTTCCTAGAATGTACACCGTAAAAGGCAGTCGTAGATCTTCAAATTTTTTTTTGTAAAAAAGAAATTGTTCCAGGACGGGTTACATTATTGTCTATTGTTCAGCGGCGCCCATGACAGAGCAACTAGTGGAGGCAAACATGACTAACCGAACACCCGAGAAATTGTCTGCAATTCCTAACCAAGCAGGACTACGTTTAAGTAAACAGTGAGTGAAGCTATAAACAAAGCACACTGCAAACTTTCTAGAACTTTGACAACTTTGGCCGGTCAGTGTGATTAGGCCTATGGTGTGGTCACACCTTTAATTTTTCCTAGATTCTTACTGGCTTAGATTTGTACCTTATGCTAGGGACTGCAAATTAAAGTTTTAAAAAGAGAGCTCCGATTACAATTTCGTGCTTCCTTCAGCATTGTCAGTTGCAGAGTTTTTTCACTCTTCACCGGTATGTTTTGCTTTATACATTGCAATGCATAGTAGTCAACAAAATTATTTATATAATGTTTAGATTTGGTCAAGGAGACTTCAAGTGTTTTTGTTTCGTTGAGTACTGATATTTCAAGTCCACTCAACTTGGAGTTTGATACAGAGTTGCACTCCTTGCGTTTTTAGTAAAAGAAACTCCCACATCCTTAGACAGAACGGCAACTTTGACCGGAAACCATAAAAATTCAGTAGCCGACTAACTGTGTACTTGAAGTCAGTATTTTCCCACTGGTGTGCTGATTTTAATATGTGTTTGAAAAGGGCTTGCTAAGTTTTTTATTTCTTTTCTTTATAGTATCCACCGACAGTGCATGCCGCCTACATTCATTCCCCTTACACGTGTCCTATCAGTGGCTAAGATGACCTTAGGGAGTTCAAGTAGTGGCCATTGCGTTTTGGACGGAGTGACTCGCAGGAAGGGGGGCGTTTTCCCTTTTAATATATCTTAACGCTGCCAAATTCGTAATGCTTGGTATCTTTGCTCTTATAGAGACGACTTGCTCAAACATTTAGCCGAAACAACTGCCGAATATTCATCGAAAAGTCCACTTCCGGTTAACGTGCGTCGCTGAGAAACATCTTTGTTTAAACTTCCAATGAAGATACTGAATATTATTACACATCACCTAACACGTTCTGCTTCTGGTGTCAATGCACCAGCTAGCTTGATTAATGATGATCAGAATCTTGATATTTCACGCGGTAGAGCTGATTGAAAAAGAACCTCGAGATTCGACGGGGAACCATTCATTGATCCATTAATGTTGCCCAAGGAGAATTTCTTCAATGTGCACAGCTGACTAGTGACTTGAATACGCCTTTAATTTTGCACTAAGAAGTCATGTGACATCGTTGTTATGAAAAATGAAAGTTGTATGATTTTATCTTCGAAAAACGATTAGTGGGTCATATTTTAAACAAAATATAGTGATTTGGTTTTTCAAACCCGGACCATCTTTTTTAAAATGAGTAATTTTGCACCTGTCGTGACCAAAACGTGATTTTTAAAATTATTAGTTAACTCAGTTTCTGAATAAAAATGTTGTACATTTTGCAAGGAAAATGTTGAAAAGATGATGTGGTAACGTTTGCAGCACATCTGAGTGCAAGTATTAAACGTTTAACAAGATACAAGCAAAAAGTAGTTTTGGTCGCCATGTTGGAGGGAACGAGTACTGCCCTCCACCTTGGCGACCAGTAGAAATCATACGGGCTTTGTTAAAAAAAATCAAAGTGCAATAAAATATCTCCCTTAAATCCTTTTCCTCTCAAATTTAGGGTGTAAGATAATATTTATGTGCTCTGTCAATTTTTGTGTCAATTTTTGATATCAGCAAGATTCCAACTCATTGTTTAAAGGAAGCATTGGTCACGTCACTTCTTAATTCAAGTGGCCTATTGGGGAGGCCGCGGACTAGATTCTTGTTTTAGTAAGTCTCTTTTTTTTAAGTGGAGGAGGAGAGTATAAAGCCTTTCTACCCCTTCCCCGCTCCTCCGTACTTTATTTATGAATGTAAATTTTAGCAAGGGAGGATGACCCAACCTCGGGGGGGAAGGGTACTCCTTGGAATTCTTGGTAGGGGTGTGCCGCCCGGTTCTCCGAATCCAGACCCTTTTTCAGACCAAAAAATGTCATTTTACAGACCCGTTTTCATACCAGACCTTTAAAATCCAAACCCGTTTTCAGACCTGGCCTTTAGGCATAAATTATGTCATCATTACTTAGATTAGAGTGCAAACAAAACAATCCTTCAATCCATTTCGAATTCGCATATTTCTCTTTCTTTCTTTCTCATTTGGAATTGAAACGAGAAATACGTTCGTACACTCCCGTAGTTCTCTCGAAAACTATACCCGATTTCAGACCAAAATGGGCAAAGTGTATACCCGTTTTCAGACCAAAACGGCTCAAAATCCCTACCCGATGGGGCGGCACATACCTATATAGCTTATATAAGGGAGTACCCCCCGGGGACCCAACATGAAACCACTGATGTCATAGATCTTACAAAGTTGCCCCCTTGGAAACTTTTGGCGAGAATCAGTTATATTGTTCGAGTTCATGTAACCTCAACGTCGGGGAAAAAATTCCAACTACATAACAGTGTCAAATATTTGAGCTCCACTTCTGACTAAAATGCAAAGCATTCACTGAAATATTAATCGTCAGGCTCCTCGAAATTTAATGGGAATAAGTACTGGGCTCAAGTAAGTTATTAAATACGGCTATCAATTTCGACAATCCAGTGGATCTGTGTCAGCTTTCTTCAGTGTCCTGTTTAGCTTTGTTTACAAAGAGGAAGTGCTCTGTACCTTTTTCGGTCGTCATCTCTGGCTCCTTTTTTCCCACGTGATGGTCGTATGTATAGAAGGCGTGCCAGTCACACTAGCTGACGTATAGCGTGAGACCAAGTTAAAGAATTTATCAATTGGATGAGCAGTGCTACTGCTAGAGTCCTGGCGCCAGGTGAAGAGAGCGGTAAGTTTTCAAAAATACTGTGGAGCCTTGACGTTAAGGAAGTGAAAACAAAGGTTTTATTGTATCAGTCTGCGATACTATGGTAAGCGGCTACCAGAAAAAAGATTAAGATGAGACGTTTAAAATGTTCCCTCTTTCTTGAAGCAGGGACGTATTTTGTCGAACTTTCTTAATAATAGAAACATAGATAAATTTAAAGAAAATATAAATAAGATATTAAATTATATTCGAGTAAATTAACCTTGCAAGTACCTTGACTGAGTGCAAATATCAAGGATCGCCTTGTGATCCACGAAAGTGGGTCTTTCTTAACAAGTTAAGCCAGAAATCAGTATTCACTTTTAAAGTTTTTACCATGTTAAATAGCAGAAATCGCAAAACTCTATTTGTGCTCGATTCTGTTTCTCAGCATCAATTTAGGCCACTGGCTCCAATGTGTTCCAATATAAAGCTACATTTACTTGTAGATATTCTTCTGGCTCCAAACCGTGAAATGAAATGAAAAGCGTATAGTCTATGCAGCACATGTGTCCATGCAAGGTAGCGAAGTCCCGGCAACATTGCTTGAGGCAGATTTGAGAGTAGTCAATTCCCCCGAACATTTCTTGTGAGGTTTTACCCACAGAAACTGGTGGTGATTAACTGAGAGACCCTAAAAGAACTAAGGCAGGTTTTTCTCTTTAATCTTTTGTCAAGAGGGTGGTATTGCACGCATGATCTACTTTTAGAAACAGTATTGTTGGTTGCCTAGCAATTATGTAACTGAGAGTAAAGTACCGTAAAAACAACCGTATCAGCTAAATACTCCCTAAATATTGTAAATAAGATCAATTTTGTAGTTTCGTTTTCTGCACTACATTGTGACTGCAGGGGCCTTTGAGGATGGGATGATTTGGTTACAAGCCTTCCTCAGTTTTTACACAGATAGGCTAACGTTTATTACGGACTAAGAATAAAATGCTTGAGATTTTTTGCCATTCTAAATTAAATTTGAAGATGTTGATGCAAGAAATTTAGAGCCGGATCGTAATGAAAATAAGGCACCGCAAGGCACATTTTGAACTAATTTGTACTTAACTTTTCCAACACTAACAGAAGCTTGCTTTTTACAGAAACTGTCTAAATGGTTTTCTCGCTCGCCCCCCCCCCCCCCCCCTCTCAAAAAAAAAAATAATAATAAAAACTCATGTCAGAAAATTAACGCCGCATCGTAAAGAAAAGAAGGCACCGCAAAGGAAATTTTGAACTTATTTTTACTTAACTTTTCCAACCCCAACCGCAGCTTTGTTTTTACACGAACTTGCTAAATGGTTTTCCCCCTCGCCCCCCACCCCCCCCCCTCTCAAAAAAAAAAATAATAATAATGATAATCGACTAAAATCTGAGAAATTTTATATCTGCGGCACCCGTAAAAAACACGATATTCACAGACAGACGGGGTGACACTGTTTTTGTCAGTGCCCAAGCGCATCGCGGATCAACATTTAGCTTTGAAATACGCATGGAATGGAAATCAGCAGTCCACAAGAATCAGTTTATTACGGATAAAATGGATGAAGGTGAGAAAATTTAAATACTGGAAACAAAATTGGGTCAATTACGTTGCATAATTGTATCGCCTACATTACATTTAACGCTAAGTGGCAAGTGCATCGCTGTTTTTGCTTTCAAAAAGGCTCCCCTGATATCATATCACAAGGTTGTAAGATGCTGATAACAAACGCAGCTAAGTTTGTCTCCTTCTTTTGTTTTATATCACCCTGATTAAAAGCTATTGAGTATTTACGTTTGGGTATCTGAAAGGTGACGGGCTATGAAGTATGCTCCCCAGCCTTTCTTGACAGTTGGTAGCTCAACTTATTTACCGACCACGGTACACGTGAAGTCCCAAATCAAAAGACTTGTTTACGTCCTCTGTGGTCTAAATTTTTTAGAGTGAAAGAATCGACGGCCCTAAATAGTGAGAAAAACGTTCTTCCACGAGAATTTAGAATACATTTAGACATATTTCATGACTTTGTCCCCAGCTAGCTTAAAAAAAAAAAACAGAAGTACAATGCGGGAGGGATCAGTTGCGGATGAGTAATTAGTAGAATGCGTTTTATAAGAAAGACACAATACGACCATCATAATTTTTACTTAGGCCATGATAGAGCAATATTGATCCTAATATAACATGAAAAGCTCATAAGCTAGTCTAAACGGAAGTGAGAATCATAATTCAAGAGATTTGATGTAGAATGTTTTAGTTTTTATGGCGATTAATTACAGCCATGGTGAGCTGAGAAAAAACATCGAGACTGATAATGATTTTTAAGTTCTTCCTTTTTTCGTTCTTCTTTGTTACATAAATGAGATCGCATGCAGACAGCCTACATAAATTAATTTACTTTTGACTCTAATTGGTTTAAAATACTTAACAATTTCAGATATAAAAATATGATACAAAAAGGACAAAAGGGAGGGGAGGTGGTCCCCATTTGAAAACGACAAAGATGATTATTGAACTTCGCCGATTTTGGTCTGAAAAAGGGTGTTACAACTGAAAGCCAATCATCAGTTTATCTTTTACAAGTATCGCTTAGGATATTACGTAAAGAACTATCTGTTCAAACTCGCGTGACTGGGTTGAATACAGCATTCGATGTCAACTTTTTTATCAACATGAAAGTTTCTATAGCTCTTGTGCCCTAATTTGGTTCCACAAAAAACCTGAGACGCGCCTAGAGGCGATTTAACCCAAATTTTCTCACTAGCATCCCCGGCCCTTTGTATTCTTATGACAGTCTCCTCTCCATCTCAGGAGCATGTGATGCACTTCCCAAAGTTTTGTAGATTGCTTATTAATAACCAGTTGAGAAGTCAAGGTTGAAAATTAGGGAATGGCATTCTGATACCGTATACTGTAACACCCACTCCAAGGAATTATATGAAGTGCCATACTCTCAGGTCAAGTGAAGGCGTTACTAATGTTTCCAAGTTCACTAAAGTTCAAGTCTATACTTCTATCATTAAAAAGAAGCGATAGTTTCTGCCAAACATGTGGCTTGGCGCACTCGTTATGAGTCTGCAGATGACTAAAAGGAATGGATCATACCATTGCTTAATTTTCGATACGTTTTCATCTGAAGAGCGATCCATGGCAGACTTCAGATCTCTGTATGTAATTATTAACGGATTATCATTATGGCAGTACAAACGTCTGGATGCCCAGAGTAAAAACTAAAAGCTTTGGCTGAGCGGCAAATCGTAACCAGCCGCTACATCGACTAAAATTTGTAGTAACAATTGCACAATAATTTGCGCCAAAAAAAAACCTGGGTAAAAAGGATTTGATAAAAGTGTCATATAAATCAGTAAATAAATGAACAAATAAATAAATCCTACAAGCTTTATGGACGTCTTAATTATAAAATAAAAATGTTCATAAGTTAAATCATGCTTCATATAGCTGTCCATTTAATTATGGGAACGTCTGAGGTATGTAGATAAAATTTCGATAATGTACAAGAGTAAGTATCTGTTATTATTATTATTATCATTATTATTATCATTATTATTGTTGTTGTTGTTATTGTTGTTGTTGTTGTTATGGATACCCAGAAAAATTTTAGTGAATGTTTCAGATGTTCTTTCGAAGGGTCATACGCCAAAGGAAATCAAAATCATCGTCGATTTTTCGGACAATCTCTCCTTGCCTCCTTGTCCAAAGCACAACCAAATGGTTTTAAACCACTGAACACTCATCTGCACATTTGCTCCCTGATCCCCCCTGGAAGGGTTGGCTTGGGCGGGGATAGGGTATGGGGGAAGTGCAGGAAATTCTTCACAATACAGCCAAAACTTGCAAAGACCTGCAGATTTGAAATTCTTAGTAATTTCAACGAGGTAAGCAGCGAACTGGGTTAAAAGCCCAGTTATTTACTGTACCCAATACCTAACCTGACTGAACCTATCAAGGACACCGGCCCAATGTAGCTCATTACCAAAGACACTCTTAGTGCCCAGAAAATTATTTTGATCAAATAGATTTATCCCAAACGTTTTTTAAAAGAGAAATATGTGGGATCGGCCGCAATGATAGGCCTTCAGTCATAAGTGGACAAAACTCTGCAAAAGAAGATGATCTTCAAATTAAAAGAATCTGCAATAGGTGATCCTTAAAAGCCATAATGGGACCGGTTGTAATGGGACTTAGCTTGGTAATCATTCAATTCGCTAACTTCAACATTATTTCGATATTTCAAGATGCATGCTTAAAGCAAAGTCTGACCATTCCAGATAAGCTTCGTGGTCGGGTATTACGGCAGTTAGCATGCACAGTGGGGGTGGAATTACCATCATTGACCATTTCAACACTTCACCGCAGTGAAAGATATCCACAGTGATGCCTGTATATAAAAGCCACAATTGCGCTAGCTAAGTGAAGAAACGTTGAGTGACAACAACCAAGAGGGATCGATAATGTAATTTTTTGTCTAAAGAGCTATTTGTTTCTGGGAAACCTAATTCTTTTACTGGTTCATGGATGTGTAGTTGGGCATCGAAGCATTGCTCCTTTTCTCTGTCTCTGCTCATTGCAAGAAAATTATTTCCTCAACGGAAGGTATTTTACAAATGGTAGAGGAACACGACGAGCAAACAACTGACGTAACAGCGTTGTAGAAGCAGTTATTCAATTAATTAGCATCAGCTTTCAAGGTACATGGCTACCGTTTTTCGCTTAATGAATTCCCCTTTGCAAGCTACCCTTCTGGAAAATGCGAAAGTATTCACTGCATAAATTCTGTGTTGTCAGCAACTGCTTTTTGAATTCCTCAGAAGGTTGCTTTGTTTGATAACACAATGATTGCTTTCCCAAATTTAGACTTAAACAAAAATGTGTGCATCTTTAGAACAATCTGTACGTTGTGACAGATAGAGTACAATGAGCCTCCTTCGGAATCTTTAGAGCCTCTTTAGTGTTTGAAAGAGGATGGCGATGTTTTAGGTCGAGCATCAGTGACTGTCAAATTCAAGTATGTGGAATATACACTTTTTCTTGCTTTCCTAAACGCTTGATACTAAGTCGAAAGATCAGGTGATTTTATATGATAGCTAATGATGTTACCACGTATCGAATTGTACTGAATAATGAAAGGTGTTTCCTTTGTTTCCGAAGCAATCAAGGGAACTAATCGCCTCGTGCAGAAGTCTTGTAAACGGGCTATGAATAACACGTTTCTTGACCACCCGGAGAGTTTGTTTGGGATAAGCACGAGCCTTCGCCGCATGTACAAAAAGGCTCAGTTTTGTTACTTACCTGTTCATCAATTCGACACATTTCAAAGTTCGGTCGCTTTTAATCGTCCGCGCCCTCGCAAATTTCACGCCTACTAAACAGCTTTGGCAAATAGCCGTGATCGTTTTAGCAGAGCATTCTCACGTCATCCCAGTTTATTAAAAAAGCGCAAGGCTTTCAATGCTAGCGCAGGGGTCACGAATATTTCCTATACATCTTTTGTAAAATCCTTGACGACCAAAAGGGGGGCTTGGCAGCTGGCATGTGGTTCATCCCAAACCACAGGAGTGCAAACTATCCAAACCCACTGGTCTTCAACTGCAAAAAGGAAACAGCTTTTGGTACAGAATTTGGCTTCTTTTATGACACCGTGGAGTTGTGATACAATAATTCCGGATTGTATTATAAAGCTCGTTAGATATAGAGTCATTCGCCATTCACACTAACTCAGTGTAATGGCCCATGCACTGATCATTATTCTGATCAGATCTGTTTTGCATTTTAAATGTGCATGAGACTCTATCGTCAATTTTTATCTTCCAGAAACCGCAACTGTACACATATAACCGAAGGTCAACTAGAAGCTTTAGAAAATTATGATTTTATCACTTTTCTTTTAACCCCAAATTATAATATGAATAGATCGCCATAAGTGATTAATTGTGTGTTTTGACAGTCATCTGCATAACTTTGAATCTTTTCTTCTCTTCACTAACAGGGCATACTGCTTCATAACACCGCTCGGACGGACGACAATCACAGAATCTGTGATTGATTAAGTGACGGAAAACGGAGACGCGTAGCAGATTGATGTTGCGCGCTTCGGGAATACGTCGCCTATCTTTGACCATCGACACGATTGGTTTACATAGCAGAGATTAGATCGCAAAGACTGAGCTAAATCTCTCTTGATTAAGAGTGTTTAAAGCAATATCAACAGCTAATAAGCCCGCAAGTCGGTCAGGAATCAAACTCGATGCGTTGGAGGATGACAAGGTTTTACTTCCATTGAGATCGCGAGTAATCAGTTTAGCTATGGAACGACAGGGTTTTGTTGCTGTGACAAATTTTCTCGCTTTATTTATATTGTTTTCGAACTTTTATCGGCGTGATATCAATGCTGTGCTTGCAACTTCGTCTGCTCTGACAAACTCGTGTTATGACGAGTATGGAAGACCACAGATGTGTCTGCCAGAATTTCACAACCTGGCTTACGGCAAACGAATCATCGCTAGTCACTCGTGTGGCAAACCTCCTCGGGAATTTTGTAAATGGGAGCTACGAGGTTACACATGTGATGTATGCGACTCAAGATTTCCAAGCAAAGCTTACCCCGTCGAGTATCTGACAGATCTACACAACCAAAACAATGTGACTTGCTGGCAAGCTGATCCTAAACAATCGAGAGGGAATGTTTCCCTAGTACTATCCCTTGGTAAAACCTATGATATAACGTACATTAGCCTCCAATTCTGTGGCACAAGGCCAGACTCTATGGCTATTTACAAGTCGGTGGATTTTGGTAAGAGTTGGAGACCGTATCAATTTTACTCTAGCTCGTGTTACAGAGTCTATGGAACGCCAAAAAAAGCTTTCGCCAGCAAAGAAAACGAACAGGAGGCTTTATGTACGGACGCACATCTCATAAGACCTCTTCAAGGAGGCAGAATTGCCTTTAGCACCCTGGAGGGACGGCCCTCAGCGAAAGATTTTGAAGCTAACATCGCTCTGCAGGAGTGGGTTAGTGCAACCGACATCAAAGTGGTCTTCGACCGTATCAGTTCTTCAAAGACTCGAGATACGAGTAAATACTATGCAGTATCAGACCTGGCAGTTGGTGGACGCTGTCACTGCAATGGCCATGCAGGCAGCTGCTCTACTACTCGTGATGGGAGGCCTGTGTGTGACTGTAAGCACCATACGGCTGGAAATAACTGTGAGAAATGCAAGGCTTTTTTTAACGACAGTCCATGGAAGCCCGCTAGCGAGACGTTTGCCAACGAATGTGTGGGTAAGTTTACACTCTTACAATTATTTGTAACAGTAATTCCTCTATCCGCCTAAGTAAAATCTCGAGTCAAGTTCTACAGTTTTACAGAGAGGAATTGCGTTCGCCGTTTGAAAAAAGGATGGACATTAACTTTTCGATTTAAAATATTTTCCTATTTGAATTATCCCTTTTTATTTTTATTTTATTTTTATTCTTTTTTTTCCTGATGTCCGGTGGTTTTGCTTCGACAAATCACAGCGTGTATTCCTTCCCTACTGATATGCACAGGGGAGGATGTTATTTGTTGGCGGTGTTGTTCTATTGACATGACCGAGATTGTTTGGCCTCTTTTGGGCATCCTGAAATAACTGTCATCGCTGCACATTAGACTAATTAGCGCTCATGATAGCACCAGATAAACCCTAGTTCGATTCGAAAATATTTCATGCAAAATTTAAAAAAAAAAAAAACTTTGTGGTACGATGCGAACGTTCATAAATAAAATCAAAGGGAATTTTCCGGCCTTTTTAAACGTTATTAGCGCTTTGGCAAAAAAAAAAATTGTCGGCTTTCTTTGGGGAGACAAAGGATCAATAGAGGGCCCAGAATGTCTGATGTCAAGTTAGTGGACAATAAATGAGGTGTTACCCATCTAAAGACTGCTATTTTCTCTGAACATTAACAAGCGCCTATTGTGTGAAAAATTGCTGTACAATTAAGGCACGCTAAACAGGGTACTGGGGTACGCTAGGGTTTGACACGGAGTCCAATAGACCATAAAAGTTCTTATCAAACCAAGGGTAGTTCCAACACTGTTCTACGGTTTTTAAGAGAAGATCGTGAAATTCTAACCACCAGTAAGGTTATACTTCATTTATCCTTCGGCTGTATCAATGACGTGGTTTGATTTTGTTTGATCCGTCTCTGAGCTAATATTTTTGCTTAATAATTAATTATGGAAGTTAATGATACCCAATACTCATGGTACATAAAGTATTTGAACACAAATGGAGTATAATCGAGACATACATGGTATGTACAAATAACACCGTTTAGAAGGTCAATAAACTTTTAAAGGCCATTGCTACTTCCTGTATCAATCAAATTCTGTTTCGCTTAGCCGTTCATCATACTAATACTTTCTCAATAGATTACTTTTACAAGGGCCATTCAGTTCAAACAAGATTAAAAGACACGCTTGCAGAAACATGCCAAATTCCCAACTTTTGTTAAACTCAATCTGTTTTATTAAACGCAACTACAAAGGGCTTGGAAGTGTTTTAATCAGAGTCGTGATTTTAAACGCGTCTGGCTGGCGACATGGAAATCAATTCATCACCTCAAACAAAACAAGTTGAATGCTTCAAGGAACTCAGTAGTTATTGCCAAGCAAAGCTTACGTTTTCTTTACTGAGGTTAAGACTCCCCTGAGCCTACGGTGAAAAATTCTTTCCAATTTTACGCATGATAAGAGAAGCTATATGACCGATTAACTGTAGAGCTACTATTATTTTTAGAAAGCAAAAGTAATCGAATGAGGTGAAATTGCAAAAAACAATTTTCTAATATCAGTTTTGTTAACCTTAGGAGAGATTAGAAGTTTCTGGGAAGAAGGAAACTAAAAAGAATCTGGCTGATATATACCGGGAAACGGTGCATAACAACTGTCCTACAGCCGGAACCTAACCTGTGATTATAGGGATAGAGAGAGGGCATGAAAAAAGGCGTTTTAGACACTATAGTCACATATATATCTAGCCTGAGTATCAGGCCTTCCTAAGGGGCTAGGGGAGAGGAGATTTTAGGTAATATATATCTATCTTCAATTGATATGCACAGTTTCAGTCAACGAGTTAACCTGTTTGCGTTTTTCTTCTGTTCGGTATCTTGTGTTTTTTCTAAGTCCTGTTGATAGCCGTAGCTGTTGATGCTAATGCAATAATTTATGGCAGGATAGAGAAATGTCTACGTGCTTCAAATTTTCACACTTTAAGGGACGATTCGTGCAGATTGTACTTGAATCAATAAATGCAATTTTAGAGAGCAAGATTTTTAAGCAGAACGAAAAAGCTAAGTTATCCAAAATAAAAGAAAAAATTTGATAACTATTTTTTCCAAGCCATTCGCATTTTATAAAAATAATAATTATCATTTATGGGCAATGACACTTGACGAGAAAAATCTTTGCGAGTCTCTCAGAGGTCCAAGTTGCTCCCTACGTTTCGAAGAATTGTTCATGCGCAGTAATCGTATACATTACGATGGTATACAAATCCGTCGAAAACCAAAAGTTCAGTTTTATGTACAAATGCTGCTGGTCAAAAAAATCTAACTTTTTGTTTTTGGGCTCACGAGGTGGTCTTTTCATGCAAGAGTCACAGTTTAGTGCATAAAAACCTTCTAAGAGTTGCGTATCCCGCACGTACTGGATATTTGTTTGCTTAAAAGTTAAGCTGTCCTTTAAAGCTTAAAGTTTCTACAAAACTAATGACTTAACAGTTTCGCAGTGAAAACTAGCTGTAAAATGACTGAGTCCTTTCCTCAAACGTCATACGGTCCTCCCTTAAAGCTACAGATTTGCGGAAATCTCTGCAAGGTCCAAGGTTATTGTTTTAAGTTAATTATAATTACCTAAACGGGAGTTTCGCTTTTGGCCTTGGCTAAATCTATGTATAATCTGCATGAGCGGGCTGGCGGTCACAGTATATTCCGAGGGTGAAAACAAGGAACAGACGGCGATGTTTCCTGCAGGTTTTGCTAGTAATCTTTGCTTGATATCGCGCTGACGAATTGCAACAATAGTTGAGGTTAGAGAGATTAAAACCGGAACCAATAAGTGCTAAAAAAAACCGCAATGGCCAGAATTTCTTATATTAAATGATAAGAAATTTCCGCTTGTTTTCTAATTTTTCCAAAACAGAGCGATTATCTACAAAAAAGTCTGACTTTGATTTATTGATCATAGCGCGGCTATGTCCCATCAAACCGAGAAATCAGTGTACGAAGTCTAAAATGAAAAAGTCTTTAAGAATATTGCAAAAAATTAACTTTATGACAACTAATGTTATGTACGTTAAGTTACTTAAAGCTCGTTTTCCGCTCGTTTCGTATCTTAAAAGAATCCACAGTGAATGCCAAATTCGCTGCCAAAGTTTCGCTCTCAGAACCAATATCAGTCCAAATAGATTTTAGCTCAAATATTCACATTTTTCTCCTCACTTTTAAGGAAAAAAATTTAGTCGAAGACCTATGTCATGCAAAACTGACCATCGGATTACGCAATGTGGTTCATCGTCTCTCAAATTGGAACGGAGCATTTTAGTCTTCAAAAAGTAATGATTTAACATGTTTTTTTCTGGTCAGGTAAGTTTACAAAGGATGGGAAGATTGCAAAGTCGCAACTCATTTTACAATTTTCGTAAATATTCGAAACAGCGACTACGGTTCACTTGGCAGCATCTGACTGTGCGTGTTGTAATGTACTAATTAGTAAAAGTTTTGTGAGCGTACGTTGTTTGTGGTGCATCCGGGGTTTATTTCCGCAACTTTGACAAGTGTTGACCAACTTCAATAGTTGCGTCACGTATGCGGCTCTTCTAAAAAATCCTTCATTCAATAAAATCCCAGCATGATAAATTAGCGTTTCCCAACATCAATGTACCCGGCAAACTGTAATAAACCGCCAACCGAACCGAACAATGTTGCGCCCAATTCTGACTTTGTACTCTCTTGTTTAGCGTAGTCAAGAGTCTGCGAAAGTGCTGTCATTAAAACAGTAAACTTCATTTTAATTGCGAGAAGCAGCTTGTTTGCGTTTCTCTTCTTTAAGGCTTTTCTTAAGTTTAAGATTTATGGCATTTGTCAAATCCAGAATATTTACTGAAAAGAGTGACGCATACGTGGCGAAATAGACGAGCGCTAATAAGACTGTATAATTAATGAGGTGTTACATCTAGCAGCGAATTTATAACAAACATTGTCTTGGTTAAGATCATAAATCATGACAATTATTGAAGACACCAGGTAAAGCAAAAGTACTAGCTTGTTGCTCATCCTCGTCCCCAGGGCTTTTCCCTTAAAAAATGGGTGGGGCGGGAAAAGGCCCTGGCATCGGCTGGTCACGTGTACAGCCTAAATATTCCTGAGAAGCTAATTTATATGCAACCCGCTGGTTTTGCGCTGACAGAAGTCGAACGGAGCAACAATGGAAAATAATAATATCGCGAACTGTATGTCAATATTTTCGCGTCTGTGCGATTCAAAAGCTTAAGATCCATTTAATTGCGTATTATTCAAATGCTAAAAGTTTATGAAACGGCGTACCGGCTCTACGTTGTCACGTACAAAATATGTCAAATGCTTCAGAGTTGAGACAAGCTGTTATCGAGTAGTACTTCGACTGAAATTCATCGCGACTGTGGAATTACTATACGATCATCAAGCGGAAAGGGATTTTGTCCAATGTCAAACAAAAATGCGGGCCTTTGCCTCTAGGATCTGCAGTGAATTTAAACAAATTGGACTTAATTGAAATAGAATTGTTCATCAAAATGCTTTATGGAATCTGGTCTTCTAACCCGACCATGAAACAAACAAATCTCCGCGCCGGATGCAAGTCAGCCCTCCAGCCAGGAACGATGACAGGTCGCCGATCTGAAACATTTGAAGATCTCTTATATATTTTCTCTTCCGAGGATAAGTACAAAGGATTTTCCTTATATTAAAGGGAAGATTGACCGATCGATTGGAATCAATTACAGCTATGTCAATTTTAAATGGACCCAAGTCTTTCTTTGTTACCAGTCGTTTGATACCCTGGGTGCCAGAGACTATTCATGCGCGGTTTCCGGTTTCGGTCAAGTCTTGCAGAGGTCAATGAATTTTTTTAAAATACAGTCATACAAGATAAGTCTAAACCAACGCGTATCGCTATGATGATATGGCTGAGAGTTAAGGTGAATGGAACTAGGTTGTGTATGGCGGTCTACTTCGCAAGAAATAAAATAAAATATCAAAAGAAGTCGCGAAAACGAACTTTTCCGGTACAAACTTTATGCATGTACGATAGCTTGTTTGTCATTTATATCGCTCTATAAAGAAGTTTTACAAATGTTACCGCTCGACGTCCCCTTCACAGAAATCGGAGGAAAGCAAAAAATTACCATAGCCAGTATCTGTGACAAAAAAGAAACCTTGTAAAACTTTTCGTTAATCGTCAAGAGATATAAAAGGCCGCCCAAGATCGCGCGCTGTGAGGTTACGCATAATTTTAGATTTTCACATAGCGCTAATTTATTACACCCTGGTTTTTAGGGTGTACGAAGGGACACGTGACCAGCCGATGCCAGGGCCTTTTCCCGCCCCACCCATTTTTTAAGGGAAAAGCCCTGGGGACGAGGTTGCTTGTTGCTGGCGTATTTGATCGTATATGATTCCACCATAGTATGTGTTAAAGGATAAGACAAGCACAAATCTGCTAAAGGAGCCTCCCTGATGATCTAACCTTCCCGGCCTGCGTTCCTCCCTTTCCCCTTTCGAACTTTTAAGTCTCACCCTTCCCTTTTCTTTTTTACGCCTGCGCCAAACAGACTGTTGATGATCCGGTCTCCTTCGCAGCCGCTTGGGCTGGAGTCCCGCAATGCTTCCCGCCCCCGCGCCATGCATATGACCGTTCGTGCATGCGTAGCTAGCCGGATAACGAGCGAGTTCACATCAGCTTGCGAGCCATGTATATCCCCCCACTACGCATGGGCTATAGTATTCACTTCAACAACTGAACTGACGATATGTTGACTGTTACGTGAAAATTCATGTATGTAAGGAGGATTTGAACAAATTATAGCTGATTTAAAAACACAAGTCACTACAACCTCGTTCCCAGGGTTCTCTACTACCTACCTGGGAACGAGGTTGAACTCACAAGTCAGCAAGTCAAAGCGACGGATCACAATTAGTTAAAAACTTTCAGTTAGCATAGAATGGTTTCTATCCAGTGGTGTCCCCTTGTTTGTAATTGACTGGTAGTTCTCCATCTCTCACCCTCGTTTTAGAGCCTTCAGGGCGAAGTTACTTTAACAATCAATCAGCCTCAGATTGATAACCCGTTCGTGCTGCTTTTCAAACTCTAGTAGTATCTTAGCCCGCAAGCAAACTCTCCATTTCAAGTAACGAGTGAATCGAAATGGGAGAGAACGTGCGAACAAGTTGCAAAGCCCATAATGATCCGGCTGACCTGGGACCAAGCTCCGCAGTGGGGAAAACGGAAAAAACGGATACTGCTAGGTTCGCTTCGCTCGCCGATTTCTCTCAGTTCGCTTTTTCCCTCGAGAGAGCCTGGTCCCAGGCTAATAAGGATCCTTCAAATGGTAATCTTAAACGCAGGCTAGCAGTATCTGACTCTGATAAGTAATAAGATCAGTAGAGGGCCCAGGAGCGAATTTGAGTCCATGCAGGGACAAAACATTCTAAATTCTACCACCAACAAAAAAAGGTTTCAAATTTGGTCCGCGAGTCCTGTTACATTAGACGCCCTAACAACGCCCTAAGGCCCTAAGTTGCAGCTTCAAAAGCAGAAGAGAAATTCCCTTCGATTAAACCGCTTTATACGAAGTCTACTCTGATCTTATCATTTTCTTTTTCTTTTTGCCTCAGCTTGTAACTGTAATTTGCACGCCAGTGCATGCCTGTTCAACATGGAGCTGTATAAACTGTCTGGAGGCCATAGTGGTGGGGTCTGTATCCACTGTAGACACAATACAGCGGGAAGATACTGCCATTACTGCAAAGAAGGCTTCTACAAGGACCCTACCAAGGATATCACACATCGTAGAATGTGCAGACGTAAGTCACTATTTCTACATGAAAGCTTCAATGAGATAAAGCCAAGCGCCCGTATTATAGTTAATTTTTTATTTCAGGTAATTTTTTTCTTTTGTTTTTGGGATGGTAATGTATGCTAATGAAGTTGAAAGAAAAATATATATATAAATTACCTAAAAAAAAAATTAACTACAACATATCCATTTATCACGGGTTTTATCACATCATACAACCAATAGTATTTGGACAAGTCAATTTCCACTCCAAAGGATTCCCAGCGGAAGTATCTCAGAGTACACTATATTACTCGTCCCGTAGCGGCTGTAATTTAAGTAACGAACCATAATCAGTGCGAAATGATAAAACAATATTCCTGAACATTTACACTTAAAATAGAAAACAAGTACTTAACAAGCCGAACATAGAGAATGCCAGAAAAGAATCAACAGAGACGAGCACAATAGAGGGAGGCGTTTCCGCATTCAACGTTCAGTGTGTACTAGGAAAGCACTGCAGAATAAAGAGGAGCAGAGTTATTACATTTCTGTCCCAAAAGGCGTCTAATTAATGTCTTTTAACTGATGCCACTATCTTGACTGTCTCCATTAACACTGATTAGGGAATTAAACTAATCCGCTAATAAGATCGATGGCACGAAATAAAAATTAGGACGATGTGATCAAATGACGGAAGACATGTAATTACTTCTTCGCATGTTGCGTCGTTCAAACACAAACAGGGTCTCCTGATCGTTCTTAATTCATAAAGGGTTGTCGTGTCTTTATTCTGCAATACACTGCGACCTTATTCAGCTTGTTGTCTTTAAGCCCTCTAAATGTTAAATGAAACAACAGCCAATATAAGATACTTTGTTCAAATTATTAATGGTAGCACCTTAAAACTTATCGCACGTTGTTATCGTTGTTATTCAAGTACTCAAGGTGTTGGTCATTATATTTCCATTCCAAATAACCCTAATGGCGAAAGAGAGTATGATGTCAGGTCACATAAACAGATTATAAAATTTGTAAATCCAGTAATTGTTTTTATAGCCAATTGGCAGAAGAGACCTTAGATTTTGGAGGCGTTAAAGTCCACTTAAATTTAAAATTTGGGGTCAATACGTGATAACCTTTAATGAGATCAAAGAGAGTAGTAGTTGCCATTTCATGCCAATAAGAAGTGTTTGTTATATTCAAAACTAGTTTAGTTTGAGGAATTCTTGTGTGGGGGGGAGGGGGACGGGGGAGGGGGGAGGGAGGGTGGCGGAGGAAAGGGAGGCTCCGCCCCGCAGTCCAACCCCTTACCCTTTTAAATGCCATTTTTGACAGCAAAGATACCCCTTTCGTATACCTTCTATTGTCAAAAGGTACCCCTTTCACATACCTTGTTTAGAACTTTGCATCCCTTTTAACTGATGTAAATGCACTGTCTTAACAATATGAATATATCACAAAACCAGAACGTTTTCTCGACTTTTTCACAGCCATGAAATGTATCTGTTAGCCCCTTTTGGGCCTTTTTACAAACCGAAATGACAGATTTTCCTACCCTTCCATATAATTCAGCTAGTGAAATCACTACCCTTTTATGAAGCCTGAAAAAGTTAAAAGTTACCCCTTGCGGGCGGAGTCACCCCGTATAGACCATTATAGGGATTTTCCTCCTGGGGGCAGAATTAGTATTCTTGTCCATCATCAAGTGCAGGATTCAGTCTCAAACTAAAGACAATTCTAATAAAGGCTTGACTTGGACCGAATTAAAAGTACATCTCTCTTATCTTTTTAGCATGTAACTGCCACCCGCAAGGATCCATGGGTAGGGTGTGTGACCAAATCACGGGACAGTGTCCATGTAAGGAAGGCGTGACTCGAAGAGCTTGTGACAAGTGCGCCGCTGACTACGAAACCACAAAGAATCCTATAGTCCCCTGTATAAGTAAGTATTTACTTTTCTAGGCTTGACCGAAGTATGACGTAATAATTATTTGTTTTTCCAACGACAAACTGCATGCTCAGGGAACAATCTACGAATCCAAAGAACTTACTACCAAATTAATTTATGTGCCTGATTAGGTCTACATTGAAAATCAACAGGCAGAAAAGAGTCCAACTGGCTCACGTGGTATTTTTGCTTAATTCTCTTTCCAGAAACACCCAATTCAGTGATGTCCATACAGCCCAAGGATTCAGGTAAGCTCATTTACGATAGCCGAACATCACCTGTAGGTGACTGAACAACGTTTCACTGAGCAAAATACTAGCTTTTTGAGAACAAAAAAAAACGAAAAGTTATGTTGGCTTTTGAATCTTCATCTCAAGTAAAGAGATGACTTCAACTCAGTAATAAGAAAGATACAGACATCGATACAGACACAAGTTCAAAAAAAGTGAACCTTGACATACAGTGCTGATTACAACTCAATAATGAGAAATAGGGATTAGAATATATAAGCTCCTTTGAACGCTAATACCGCTCCCTAAATACCGTTACTATGCATGGTAACTTGTCAAAAAATGCCAATAACGTGTTAAGCATGCTTTCAATTGCTGTTACGCCAACTAGAATGGACTAGTAGTTGTGATAGTAGTATTGATGTAACAAAGGAGAATTGCTGAAAAAAGCTGAAAACTGTTGCCAGCCTTTAAAAAGAGGACGCAGCCGAAAGGCAAGGTCTGCAATGCGTCACAGAGGCAGATAAATCAGACACAAAACACCAACCTTCAATATAAAGCTCCCTTGTCACTAGACTGGAAGAAAAGTCATTTTTAGCTGTGTCCCCTTAAATTCACTTTAACTACGCTTTGGTTCCTACCTGGTGACCTTTAACCATGTGTCCAAGTTAATAATCTAATATTCTTTCTTTCTCACTGCAGCATGTTCCCAGTGCAAGAAAGTTGGGATGTCAGGAAAGAAATTTTGTCGCAAAGATTTCGGTAAGAGGAGTTTCCATAAATTTGCGCTTAAGTTCACCTTTGAAACGAAAATTTGTTGTAGAATCCGCCTCAATCTGTTATTGTTTGTTTCTCCCTGGACGATTTTTTTAATCTACTTCCTTTCCGTTTTCAATTCAGCTATGAAAGTAGCAGTTCTTGGCTTGGATAAAACAACAGAAGGGGAATGGGTTCGAGTAACCGTAAACGTCATGACTCGATTCAAGAGGTCATTGGTTCGTGTAAGGCTTGGAAATGAATTCCTCTGGATCCCACGCCGTGACTACAAATGCAAATGCCCCAAACTGCGACCGGGCCGCCATTACTTGATTGCGGGCTCAGTCAGATCAACTCGACGAAAAAAGTCCCTTGTGGTGGACCACCGTAGCATGGTGGTCTCGTGGAATGCAAGTATAAACAGAAAGTTGGAGAGAATTAAGAAAAAATGTAGGAAAAAGAGTCAGTGAAGCGTTATAGTTAACCCAAGCAACAATTGTAGCCTTATCCTTCACGAGAACAAAGTTAAACAAGCCACACCGCCCTTCGGGGCAAAGGGTGCAGGAAATACTTTACGAGCGTGCAAACGCTGCATAAATAGAACCTTGGCGTATGATTTGTGGTACGCTCATGTCTGGTGTAGTCTGAATTCGACTAATACTAGAACTTCCGAAACGTACAACCTCGTACTGAGAGAAAACGCATGCAATATCAAACAGGAAAAAACGTGAAATATACTTGGAAATCACATCAAATAAATTTTATGCGATGTTCAGAAGCATCCCCTTTCTGTTTCCTTGAACCTGCCGTACAGACAATCTCGTACTTAGAGGCTTTTGGTCAGGGGGGCAATTCTTAGCCTGCGAAGAGCAGCCGTTCCTCCTCCCTTTTCGCCGATGGAGACGTTTGGAGCGAGGAGGAACGGCTGCTTTGGCAGGCTAGGCAATTCCTGTCGTTGGAATGCTGAGCAAAAAGCCATACGGCTCTTGGTACGAGATTGCAGTGCAGACAAAGAGAAGACAACCTACTGCGAATCCCTCATACAGGCGTAATACCTTAAGAATCCTCAAGTAATTTTAAGCAACAAAATGGTGAGAATTCATATTTCAGAACATTGTATCTTTTAGTGGCTACAGATACTTGTAAAAGGTCTTATGGGAAGCATCAGCTTTTAAAGTAAACACCCATAAGTTAGAGCCTACCTGTTGAGGCTAACCTGGGAATACAGTGCTGTATGTAGGTTCTTACTCGATGGTTTTAATTGCATCCTGTCCAATAAAACCAAAATTTGGCACCACTGTGACGAAATTTGCCAGCAAACTTGGCACTTTTGGAGGATCTGTCTCAAATTAAAAATTTGCTTTCGTATTCCCTTGCCTCCTCTAAAGCCAGCTTGATGATCACTAACTTCCAGCTGCTGTTTTAAGCGCCTGATAATAATCTTGAGTGTTACTTTGCTAAACTCGTATATGTGGTAGATGGTCCGGTAGTTACTACCCTGTTGTAGGTCTTCTTTCTTCGGCGTGGTACAGAATGTCCTTACCCAAGCAACTGGCCATTCTCCATTTCACCAAATTTTCATACAGCGCAGACGTAGAAGGATCACACACCAGCTGCTCTAAGCAACTCCGTACGCATTTCATCCACTCCACACGCCTTGCTATTTTCCAAAAAGCAGCCTCTACCTCCGATATCATCGGCTGAACTTCTGCGTGAATTTTGATTTCCGCGTGAATTTCCTTCGTGTTGTTCGGCGAGAGAAGTGTTCTTAATTGACTTACATTTGTTTCCAGGTCTTTCCAATAACTTTCCTCTTTTTTCTGCGCTTTTGCTTCTACTCTACTCAGAGTCCACCACTGCACTGCACTTAGAGGTTCATAAAATTGGTCTCTGTCCTCTTCGCAAGCAAATAAAAAAGCGAGGCATTTGTAACGTCAAAATAATTGAATGTATGCACATAATAAAGGCAATTTATGTGCACGACGTTACATCACTTTCTTGCTCAGTAAGAATGCAGAAAGGAAGCAACATGTTGGATCAGTATCTATATTTCAGCTTCTCAGTTTTGTTATTCAAACTTACAAAAATATCACCTATCACCTTTCTCGTTTCCTTCGATAACCACATCGATACAATTTTAAAAATTGACAATGCATAATATTCAAAGTGACTGAGTTTTAAAGAAAAAAAATTATCATTATTCCGTTCACTTTTATTAATTTGATTCAATAAGCAATAAAGAATTTGTAAGAGGTGAAAAAGTGACGTTTTATCTCCTCTGTCTTTGTACCCTAGAGTAAGTACTAGCTTCAAGCTTTTATACTAAGTGATTTAACAAAATTATTTACAATTACCAAATAACCTGACGATTGCTCTGTTTTGTTTGTTTCTTTGCTTGCTTTTCATTTCTTTTTTTTCCAAACTTGCGTCATCTGACGCGAAAATTAATTGATCCAATGAAGTATTTAAATTAGATATGGACAAATTAATTCGAATAATATTGTTTTCTCCTCATATACTAGAACAAATGGTACACAAATGACGGCACCAGTGGAAGGCTAGGGATGGGAGGGCACAAATCATCTGAAGACGAATTTGGATGCGGTTCATTGTTGTTTAACTGAAGTTGCTGCTGTTGTATCAACTGAAAATAATTCTGTGATTAACAAAACAATGCCGGCAAAATGTAAGCTTAATTTCTTTTTGTTGATAGACGACATATGCGAAAAAAAAAGGTCTACACCTGGAGCCAGACTTAACTAGAACGTAACCGCCAACCTATATGTCTAGCGTTAGCCTTACTGCAGAAGGCCACTGAAGAGTTGCTTATAGGTCACAAGGAATGTATTTCAACGCTGTCCTCACAAAGATGAACCATTTCACCTGATTAACCGTCTAAATTAACCGGCTCTCAGGGGTATACAAGTAATTACTACAGTGGAAGCTATTCTAACGGACACTCTCGTACGTGGACAGTTCTACCTTACCTCTAATTATCTTTGAAAAGCCTTGTATTAGGAAAGGTAATAAAGGATGTATGTATGTATGTACCTACGACCACCTTCACAAAACCCTGTTTTTCTTAACTCCCATACAAACTCTGTATTTTACATTCCCGTAAGCGGCCAGCTCCAGTAGCGTTCTTTTTCGCGCCCCTAGAGTGTCCACTTACGAGAGCTTCCACTGTAATAAGAAAACACAGTGGCGGATCAAGGGAAGGGGCCCGGACGGGCGGAAAAAAACTTTTGACGACCGGGCTGCACCCGTATCTCAGGGTCTGAATTCGGCACTAAAACATAGCAGAAATTCTCTAAATTGAACGTGTCATGCCATGTCACGCTCCTACTCTACCCTCTTGAATTCATATCCAAAGATACCCTTCTTTCAGCTTTTCCTAAAATAGAGACCTTCAGACTCTAGGAAGAGTACGAGTACGAGATTTTCTCTGTTTGATATTAAGTAAGTAGTGCGCGCGCTTGAACAAGCGTCATTTCGGCGGGAAAGGTGATAGCCGTCGTCATTCTACTGGCGAGAATGTCGTAGTGGCAGAAACAAGTTATCAAATGTTATAAGTTTCAGTATCATTTTTCGATCGAGCGAGGGCTTAACTTTCTCCAAAAAAGATAAAAGTGCTATCTTTTCTGGTGAAAAAAAGAACAATGAAACATTCGGCGGCGTCTATTTTTTGACAATACGCAAAAGAACTTTCAATCAAATCTCGTACTCGTAGTCGTTCTCGTCTTCGAGTCTAAAGGTCTCTAATTATTCTAAGACAAAGATTATTTGGAAAATTCACTTTACGTTATGTTTATCGTCGAAGTGAAAACTATCATGTAGGAACAACAGCCACCACAATAATAACTATAATCAACAAGACAATAACCACCAGCATTCCTATAAAGACAAAACAAAAGAAGCACCATCAAGAAAATGCCTCACCAGAAAAACCTTCAGTTGAATTTCGCTCAACACCATGCAGTTTCAGTACAGTTGAACCTCTCTACAACGGTCACCATGGGGACTGATAAAAGTGGCCATTGTAGAGAGGTGGCCGTTGTAGAGAGGTTGAAACAAGAGTGAATGTATGGACTGTCTGCCAAAAAAAATGGCCGTTGTAGAGAGGTGGCCGTTAGTGGCGGTACGACTGTATGCATGTTGTAGCTAAAATCCGTTCTCAGATTAAACCATAATATCCTTTGTCTCCTGAAAATCAGTAGGAAAATTCTGAATCAAACAGAGTCGATTATTTGTTTAACCTACAAGCACATGGAATACAAATTAAAAAGAGCCACTGTCTCTTAACAGACACCTGTATAACGTACCCACCTCCCTAAAGAGAACACCAGTATCTGGTCTCTCTCGCTCCTCAGTCATATCGTCCATAATGTGGACGCCTCTTTGAGGCTTGAGAGTCCATCTCAGGTTATGTCTATGTTACTGGTCAAATTTGATTTCAGGTTATTTTTTATTTAAACTCGGTTGATTCTCAATTTCCTTTGTTTCTTGGCCTGTGCCAGGCTCTCAGATAGTATAGTGGGAACGTATTAAAACGAGCAAAGCGAAAATAAGACGGGCACGACTTGGGAAAAGGGGCGATGGGGGCCGCCCTGTCTCTCCCCAGCCCCCGCGCGTTTTTCGCATTTCTTATTACCATCTCGGAGCCTGGAACAGGCTATTTGTTTCCTATCCCTAATTCATAAATAATTAGGTCTAGGAGACAAAGAAAATTGAGAATCAACCGAGGTTACAAAATTTAATTTAAGCTGAGATCAAATTTGACCAGTAACTTCTACACCATACCGGATACCTCTTGCCCTGGAACGATAACCGTGTCGGGTAGGGCGGACGTTCACTCATAAGAACGGCGATTTCAGCGCGGTTTCTGTAACGTTGCAAAGCTGCGCCGCGCTGCGCCGATCTCGATAGGATTTATCCACATACTCAAATGTTACAACTACATGAACATATATGGCAGTAAAGGGATTAATATGAAATATATTTATCCTTGACATGCGAGACCCTAAGCTACCACTTACCACACGCTGAAGATTTTGCTGTTATTCTCTTCACATGGTGGGTTTCTTTTATGAGCCGTGTGTTGGCTTGATCCATTCGACCATCTATGTCATCGATTATTTCTGCGACAAAAAAAACAACAAAAATGTGTGAGAATGATGTTATTCAGTCATGACACAGGCAGCTCGAAGAAAAAAAAATCATTTTCCATTTAATTTTCAAGGCTAAAAGTGAGAATTACAACATCATCATCATTATCATCAATACTCTTCCTTCCCGATGTAGCGTAGGGCTTTCATTCATGCCTATTTTAAGCAGTGACTTTTGCCTCACGTCATGTAAGTCCTTTCTCCTCTATTGTGCCTCCTAGTGTGTCTGGATCTCTCTCTCTTACGCTTTCCCTGTGAGTTTCGTACAAGGGCTGTCTTGGCCAAATTTCTTTCTGGACTCCTCAGTGTGTACAGAACATTCGTTCAACAGGATGAAGCCACAGCAGTTTTTGCAGTTGCTCACGTCGCCATATTTAGGCAGCTTGATTAACAGACCCTTTTTCCTCTTCTCCGGTACTCTTTTCTCGTCCAACATCCGGTTATAAAAGTCAAGGAGAACTTCCTCTGAAACCTCACCAGCAGCCTTGATTGCCTCTGGTGGTATATTGTCGAGCCTGCTGCCTTCCCACTGTTGAGCTTTTTTATAGCAATCTTGATCTCAGTGGGTGTAATGAGACACGTCCTGATGTTCAACTCGTATTCACTGGATTTTTCTTTAAAATGCTATTAGGTTTTGTGTGTGTTACTCAAGTAGGATTGATCAAAATGAGCTTCTTCCTGGATTCGCCACTAACCGACTGAAATGCTCAACTTAAAAGTTACATGTTCATGAGTTCAGAAAAGGATAATCTGCATCGTTCCATATGAAAGGCGTACGACCAAACAGGTCGCCAAAGGATTTAGAGATACTAACCATTCTGTGTGTCAACTTCTTCAGAAATGGCGTGTCCAATCATCTTTTGTCTTTGAATAATCCCTGACAAGGCCTCCAGCCCTTGATCTTGCTCTGTTGATGGAACATGAAAGGCAATATAAGAGAGGCTTCAATTTCTATAGAGATGACAAATTTCTTTCTATTTATAATGATAACAGAGAATGTACCCACTATATAGAATTGCCCTTAAGCTCTGTTAATAGGACACTTTTGCAGTAGTGGAGCAGTAGTAGCCTCAGTGTTAATGGCTAGCTCAGGGCTGTAATTTATAAGGGCCAGGTCTATGAATGCTGCCTGGCTATTAGGATACTTCATTGATAGAAACATGACACATTCATTTGATGAAAATTTCCCAACTAATTCAAAAACTAGCGACAGCCCTACACTGCAAGTTTTCTTTTATGTCCCCTTGTCTGCAGAACACATTGACAGTACATGTACATGTACATGAATGTCATTACACTGTATGTTTCATTTTGTGATGATGGCATTACATATTGGTATGTTGGAACAGTGTACAGCTGTATGTATACATGTACGTGAAAAAAGTTCTGCTCTTGCATTTGCAAGACCTACGGTATCGCGGCAGTCACTAAGATTTCAAGTTGCCAGATAAATACAAAAAGTAGGTGGGGAACAGCGTGCAAAGAAAGTCGTGTCCAGTAGCCCGAGGCTAGTGGATTTTGCTATCCGGCTAGTGATTTTAGTTCTTGACTTTCCCACCTGACAAGTGCTGGTTTTTGGGGAAATTCAATTTACAGAAGGATTGTAATCAATCCTACTAATCAAAAAAGGGTTTGGGGGCTAGTTGAAATGACTTGTAGGCTAGTACATGCTAGCTACAGCTTCCCCGAATGGCCGGCTGTAAAACGGACTTTCTTTGCACCCTGGTGGGGAATCAAACAGCTAGGGATTTCTTTTGGTTCTATTTTTCTCCTGTTTTCCCAGGAAACTAGCCTAGGGGCCACATTCTTAGCGGCAAAGGGAAATCCACCGGTCCCCACCTCTTAATGACAGCCCTGGGTATGCTGTTGTGATGCAACAAGTACAGTTGTTATGAACCAGCCTCAGGAATTTTACAAAACAACACCATAGCACACATTATGAAATAAAGCAGTAGCACCCTTAACCCTTTAAGTCCCAATGGTGACCAACACCAATTTTCTCCTAAAGATATCCATACATTGTCAAGAGATGAGGTTATGAGAATTGATAAAATGATCACCAAAGAGAAAATGCATTGATCTTTTATGAAATTCTCTCACCTAATTCTTTAAGAAAATGTATAGAGATCACTTTGGAGAATTTGTATGTGGATATTGGCACTTAAAGGGTTAAAAGAGAATACTTAAGTTAACACCTGCAATTATTTGTTGTTGCTGCCTTCTCATGTCATCAATGGATACATTACTGTCAGGGTAAGGTTCTGGCTCATCAAATGGATTGCTACTCGCTGGCATTCTAGGGTCTGCTGCCAGTAAAGAACTCCTATAATTTAGCACAACACAAACAATAAATTAATTCTCAAGATCCATTATTTTCATCTGAAGAGTTATGAAATCTTGATGAAAGAGAAGAACTCAGATCAACTAGGTATACATTGTAAACATGTTGTTGTTGCTGTTTATCTGCATGCCTTCAGTGAGGAAAGTAGTTCCCGTTACGGGTTTTCCTGTCAATACTTGTAGTCTTTTGTATTGCAAAACTATTAAAGAATGCACAGACTCGCTGAAGTGGCTCTGACTGATAATATTTGAATCTAGAAATTGAATTGTTAAAATGTGTTAAGATTATCCCATGTTAGTCATAAATTTTTATTGTCTTGAGATATTGTTGTACACTGTAGCAGTGCTCGAGCTGATAAAATGCAACAAGCACTGCATTTTGTTATAAATTAGCCTTTAGCATCTTTCTCAGACAGCATTCTTGGTGCACTCAATTTTATCCTTGGTTAAAATTTTATTTCCTTTGTTTTGGGATATGGTGCTGTATGGCATTAATGAGTTTGAAACCAATGAAAGTTAAATTTGAAACAAGGATGAGGCTGAACAACAAAGACATAAAAATCACGTACATTGTACATCCCCAGATCATCCTTGAAAATCTTATTCTTGGCCCTTACAAGGAACCTTAATCATTGGATGGCCATCAAATTACATTTTGCCTTCTCAAGTTCAGTTAAGCCTTCATTAAGCGGCCACCTATTAAGTGGCCACCCTCTATTAAACGGCCAGTAAGAAAAGTCCGGAAATACAGTGTAAATGAAGAAAAGAATTGGGAATTAAACCTTTATTGAGCAGCCAACCTCTATTAAGAAACGTGCTGATACCCCAAGGGTGGCAGCTTAATGGCAGTTGAATTGTACCTACACCAAGGCTATAAAAAGCAGTCTTGTCATTCTGAAACTAAACTGTTTTGAGTTATCTAAAAAAAACACCTTACTATTTAAACATGCAACAACATGAATCATTTGTCCAAACCTCTCCCACCTTCCAAAATCCCCCTGGCCAGCTTCCTGCTGAAATGCAGCATTCATTTGTTTGTCTCTAGAAAAATTTGAACCACAGCAAATAATAATATTATTATTTTATAGTAATAATATGCATAATAAAATACAGTATAATTCATCATAGACTCACAATTTCAAGCAGGGGGGGGGGGGGGGGGAAGGGGGCAAGAAGGATGTCAGCTAGATTTTTGTCCCTTATTGTTAACTGTTTTCTTTTTCATGCAAGGCCGCTTCGAGTCTTATTGCTTTCTCTCTTCAGGACTGTTCTCCGTGTTGGAACTTTCTTGTTCAGAGTCTACCTCTTTTGATTCACAATCTATACTGGGTGAAGAGGTTTGCGGAATTGTGTGTTCTTGTTCAATAAATTCAGCACTAGATTTTGTATATGCCCTAAGTTTTTTATTAAAAAAAAATAAAAAAAAAAAAAAAATAAATAATATTAATAAATAAAAAAAAAAAATAAAAAAAAAAAAAAGAATTATCATAAAACCACAAAGACAAAGGGGGGGGGGGGGGGGGGGGGGGGCAAGAGGGTCTAAGGCCTGTTTCATTGTGCTTCTGCTGTGCCAAACTCAATTGATAGAATAAATTTGAAATCATTCAGTTTAGCAACCTGAATTTAGTGCTACGCGGACGACTTGGTTTCAAACGTTGTGCTATTGAAGTGCCAAACTCAATTCATGAATTATGAAAAGGTATCTGTTTAAGTGTTTTGACTCTACCGCTGCTGACTGCGCATACTGTAGCTGACCGTGGGCTCTGGGATGAGAGTGTTACAAAACGGCAGCAAAATGGCGAAGTAGTTTAAGTCCATACACAATCTCTACTTCTGAATTTTTTGATGAAGAAGACACAGTTTCACAACGCTCTTCACCCAGTATAGATTGTGAATCAAAAGAGGAAGACTCTGAACAAGAAAGTTCCAACACGGAGAACAGTCCTGAAGAGAGAAATCAAGAAGACTCGAAGCGGCCTTGCATGAAAAAGAAAACAGTTAACAAGAAGGGACAAAAATCTAGCTGACATCTTTCTTGCTTTCATTAAAGGAAATTAAGCAGAAGGAGAGCAAAAGCAAATACTTTAAGAATTAACCTTCTTGCAACAAAATGATTTAAAATGGACTGCTACATCAGCTGCTGTCTGGCATTTAAAATCATCTTCAGCAAAGCAAGTTTCTTCGATTGTGATCTTCCCTTGTGTTTCTGTTTGCCACTTTGGATGGATGGAAGGTTTGTATTGACGTTTTCTTTATTTTGAATTTGGCACGACTGAATTAAATTCGACGTTTAAAGCCACTCCCATGCTATTGCCGTGCAACTGCTGGGTCAAATTCATTTAAGTTTGATACGGCAGTAATGCGACGTTTGAAACGGGCTTAACCTAGGTACTCATCCCAGTGTTTCAATTTTAAAGGCTGTTCTCACTAGTGACGGAGTCGGAGTTGGAGTCATAATCAGAAGCTAGAATCTTACGATCTAGTGAAAACAGCATTCTGATTCTTCTGATTCTGTTTACGACTCTGCACTTATGACTAAGTGAAAACTGGGTCATCGGAGTTGCAAGCAGAAGCAGAAGAACTAAACCAATCACAAAGAGTGGGAACGCGCATTGTGATTGGTTTATCCTTCCATTTCTGCTTCCTACTCCGACAATCTGGTTTTCACTAGATCATGAGCGGAACGTAAGCAACGGAGTTGTAAGCAGAGTCAGAAGAAAACTGGAAACATTCTGATTCTTCTGACTCTGATACTGTCACAATAATGACTTGGCTAATGATTCCGATTTTGATTTTCACTAGGTCATAAGCACTCTTACAACTCCGCTTACAACTCAGACTCCGACTCCATCACTAGTGAAAACAAGCCTTAAGGAATAACAAAAATCATACTTTGTTATCAGCTGATCCAACATGTTCTGTCTCCTATCAATTTCTCGCTCTGTGCTACACATTTATTAAGGAATCAATCAATGAACAATAAAGGAAAAGCAGTAACAGTCCACAAATAAATATGACATCAGCAAAGGAATAAGAGAAATTCCTCCCAAACTAGGTCAGTCTGGCCAGCTCATGAAGCTGATTATGACAAATTGGCCAGAAGATTATGGAGAAATCTTGAATGCATTAGAATAATGAAAAATAAATAATATTGTTGGGAATAACAGCTTCCAAAAAATCTTTCCACTAACAGTTGGCTGACCAACTAACTGAAGAAAAAACTACCCAGGGACACCTTATGTCTCCAACTGGAAATGATATCTATGCACACTAACATGTATCTCACATTACTAGACTGTTCCTTAAATGGACTTCTAAAATGCACTTTTTTTAGTGTCAATGTGTTTAGCACAAAAGTACTAACTGGGGGACACTATTTTTCACATCTTCAGTTGGAGAGAGGACCACCAATTTATGTGGTCATTTAAGCCATGCAAATTAAGGTCTAGCCGCTCACAGGGAAAAGGAGGGACCTTTATTTTTCAGTTATTTTAGACCCTGAGTATTGGTCCGGCCCCTGGAATCCAACCCATGACCTTCTGCTCTACAGTCAACCGCTGTACTGACTAGGCTAATCCTGCTGGGGATTAATGGATTAATGGAGCAGCTTTATTTACAAATTTAACAAGGATACACATGGTAAGAAGATGATGCTCGTAACAGCGATTGCTTCAAATTACTGACATCTCTGGAAAAAGTCTTCAGCATCATCCTTACATCAGATTGCAACTAAAAATACATGTTATAAGTAATACATTTTCAAACAACCAGGCTCAAATCCAAGAGGTATTAGTGTTACAGGTCAAAATTAAATTCAGGTCTAAACTTTTACCTGTGTTGATTCTCAATTTCCTTTATCTCCTAGCTCTAATTATTTATGAATTAGGGCTAGGGGACAAAGGAAATTGAGGATCAACCTACGCTAGGTTAAAAAATTTTAAAAGCTGAATTTAATTTCGACCTGTAATATCAACAGTACGTTACAACTAGCATCGATTCAAGCATTGACTCACTAAGCTGTTTGCCTTAACTTGTCCCCTGATACAATGAACATGTGCACACTGTACATCTTCACAAAGTATAAATATCAAATATCAGTTTGTGTGGGTGATAAGATCCACCATTGTCTGAATATCATTTCCAGTTCTTTCACATCCCACAAGAATCAGAACAGTGAAAGAACTGACAGGGCCCACCATTTTTTTTTGCCCTTATCCAAGAAGACTAGAATGTCTAACCATTGTAGACATCACAACAAAGGCAGCACATTCTCCTCAGTTATTTTAAGACCCTGAGTGTTGGTCCAGCCAAGGTTTGAACCCTTGACTTGCCACTTAGCAGATTGGCACTTATCCAATTGAACTAACCACCGGCAGGTGGCAAACCACTTTACCCAGTAGGTGGGTACAGACAAGTTCCACCAGGCTGGACACCTGACATTTTTGTTTTCAAAATCAGGTGGGTGTATGATGGTTTGGGGGAGGGGGGGGGAGACAGTTAGTAAGAGAGAAAAAGTGGTTTATACTAAAGATGTCAATTTTGTTCACCAAGTAACATCAGATGGTTAATTTTCAGTCTTAAAAAGCCTGGACACATTCTACCTTCTTTCAATTAAAAAAAACTCTAACAAAAAAATCATGATACATGTACATGCACAGATGGAGTCAGAAAATTTAAAAAATCCATTTCATGGCCAAATACATTGAAAAGTGTTATAATATTATTATAATTATCCTCATGTTTTACAAGCAATATCTATTTCAAACACAAGAAATCCATCCTTGGACAATCCCATTTTTAAAAAAATATTCCAGGGCTTTTATGCCCCTTTCCATCCCCCCTGCTCCCAACCTATTGTACCTCTCTGTCTATATTATACAGACCTGAAAGGATACAGAAATGTACCAAGAGAAACATCTAGATACAAGAGATTTTAGTACTAAGCAAATAATAAAATATTTAAAATATTCTTTACCTTGGAAAAATTTGCTCCATTTCGCCGCAATTTATTTCGCTCATTAATTTTCTCCATGATATCCTGGCCATATTTCTCAACAGTTTTAAACTCACTCAGCCTGAAACAAAAAGGAAAACCAAGATATTTCCTCAAATTGAGGCCAAGGTTACTTACATAGGGAAATGAATGAAAATTATCACAATTTAGATTATTACAAATACTTTATAAATCCAAGTCTGACAAGCCTGTTTTCCACTATGCATTCAGACTGTACAAAGCAACAGGAGGAAGCAAGGCAAAGACACTGCAAATCTCTGGAGTTTTACAAATATTCTATAAATAATTTCATAATAACCCTATTAGTTTCAAAGCCATTATGCGAAGAGATTACGAGAGAACTGATGAGCTTCGAACATGCATACTCCTGCCCAATGTCAGAATCAACAACGGTAATATTACATGCTCACAATGAATGCTACTACTGGTCAATCAGAAAATCAGAAAGTATGCCAGAATTGATGTGTAAATGTCTAGTATGCCCAAACACATTTTTTCCAAAAATCTGACAAGTCTTCAACAACTGTCCAGTTTAGAAATCATCCAACTAGAGGCATTATTTTAACACATAAAATTGGACATTTGGCCCTATCCACAAGTATCCGGAAACTTGTAAAAATGATAAATTCTTCTCTCTGTTTCCAAAAGCATAGGTGTCCATGTATAGTGTATTTGAACTGTTTTGGCCCACCTACATGAAAATGCTACAGCAATGGAAATAGCTTCTTACAAAGCATTTGCTGTGCATTGCATGACATCATCACATTTTCAAACCTTTGCTTTTATCTGTCAATATAAGAAGCATAAGCCAGTGTTTTCAAAAAAAACCAATCCCACAACCAATTTTCAAGAAGCCTTCATTTTTGGCACCCAAAATGCCTTTACACGTGGATAGAGGCTAAAGCTCTGTTTTCAAAGATAATTTGTGATGAAATACATTTAAGTTCGGTTTTATACTGTAAAAACACCAGTCAGGTCCCTGAAAAATAGCTTTGAATTTGTGTTCAATAGGTTTTGATCAGCTTAAACAGGGCATGCTGGCAAAAGTTCTAGGGGAAAGGCTTTAAATAAAATATTATCATCTCTTTTGCAGTATGTTCCCACATGGCACAGTGTTAACAATGTGGCCCGACGCGTAGGAGCTCCTGAGTTCAATTACAGGTGGAAGAGCCTCTTCTTCTTTTTACTTTTCTTTTCTTTTGTTTTTTTTCTTTCCCATTTAGTATTTTTTTAGTTATTGTAGTTTTGTTTTGTTTTTTTTTAGTTAGCTTAAGTTTTTTACATTTATAAATGTTCTTCTCTATTGCCTTATTTCCCTTTCTTCCTAATTCTTGCCGTTCCCCCAAAGGTCCTGAAATTCACATAATTATTTCTAGTTATCTGGATACGTGCTGACAGGGTTTAACCCATTCACCCCTGAACCACCCATAACCACCCATGCGAATCCACGTCTCTTCTACCACTCGTGACACCATCAGTTTTAACGGTCAAACACAACTTTTTCCTTTAAAGTGTGCAGGGTGAAGAGGTTTTCCAAGCTGCACCAAAATTAGTGCGATTCAGTCAAGGACGCCAGAGAAAAAGGCCAAAAAAACATGTAACAATGATGCAAGAATTCCCATGAAAATCTTGTTTCCCTATCCACCTGCATCCACTTTCATCTAATTCTAAGATCCTAAAAGCTTTCCTAAAAACTTTTTCCCGTTTTTTGGCAAAATACCCAAGAGTGAATGGGTAAGTTTCTTACTTTGTCTGGAAGCAGCTGAAAGTACATGTGAGTTGATGATTAGATAAAAAAAAAAAGACAACCTCGACATTTAACCAAACGATTATGTCAAGATCGAGAATTTGAACACCATTTTCAATATATCATCATACAGTGCACAAAATTAATTTAAAGAGAGAACTATGTCTTTGTATTAAAGGAAAGTTTGATCACATGATCGCAATGTTCGACCGTGTAGTATAAGGTACACATCTAGAACTACAGTAGAAACAAAGCACATCCAAAGATAATAAATGCCTCTTACATTATTTGTGGACTACGAAAGTGAAATTTACAGCAGCACAAGTGAACAAGATAAAACTGTTTAGCTTAAGCTGAGTTTTTGTCGGGCGGTCGCGAAGGAATGTGTAAGTCTTGAGAGGTGAAAAATACTACTACTTTAGCGGTATTAAAACGAGATTATTTCCTTCTTAACCATCTCTAATTACATTTCCATGAAAAGGAATTCATCAAACTCAATTACTCAGCAAAAGGAAGTTATAACATGCTCGAACTCACCATGTATCGGTGGGCGCCATCTTGGATATTTGTCCCCTCCAGTTCCCAGTCTTTTTTAGCAATGATGTCAACCTCGTCCCCAGGGCATTTACCGCGTTTTGACGTCACAAGTTGGCCCGTGTTCAATCCCGTGTTCCAGCCATAATTATGGCCACAAAAAACGCAAAAATCTGTAAAGTGGACAAGAAAATTCCAATGAAATTCTTGTTCCACAACCCACCCAGCCATACTTTCGTTAAACTATTATTTCACGACCCTCAGGGTTTTGCCGCAAAAATCTTTCCATCCGCATTAAGGGACCGGTCATTTTTTATGTGGGGGGGGGGGGGGGGGGGGGGGAACCTATGCAAAAAATGATAAACACAATGAACTATATCCTATAAAGGTACTTAAAACCATATTACTTGTAATTTGTTCCTGTCCTCCTCCCCCACGTTTTTTTTTGTGGTACCTAGTGTCGCTGCCAGTCAGCTGTTCCCAGCCTTCCTTGTCGTTGGGTGGTTTGTGGGTTGGTGTGTGATGGGGGGGGGTGGGGGGGCGGGGGGGGGGGGGAATCTTGGGGTGGGGTGGGCCAGGCCTATTTTTTTTAGAGAAAAGGGGTGGGCCAAAAGAGAATTTCACGATGATTGGGGGTGGGTCATTGTGTGTTCCAGACCAACCTGCACTTCCTGAATTTAAATACTTGAGCGTTCATACTTCTTCCAATAATGATGAAAATGGCAAGAAGCGTATTCCCGATGATTGGCAGCCACGATCAAATATTAAGAAGCTCTTCGAGGAAGAGAAGTTGTCAATTAATGCATCGGATGCTATCACAGCTAGAATTTTCCTCCAAGTTCATTGTAGACGAAAAACTGGTGAAGAATTACATTGAGCACTTGTCGCAACTGCAAAGTGTCAAATGAATGAGATTCGTAAGCAAGAGCGAAGAAAAGAAAAGCAAGTTCGAACCTTAAAAGATGTACATTGCTATGACTGGAAAACACTTGCAGAGAAGGGGGAGCTTGACACTCTGAAAGTCCCCGAGTTGGACAAATACAGTGAGCATAATAAACTTATAGCAAGAACGGAAAGAAAATCGACAAAATCAAGCGAATCACAGTACACTATTATGAAACTTTAAAGGAATCTACATTTCCTTCAAGCGTCAGTGTTGGTGAGGACAGTGATGAGAGTGACAGTGACAATGACCTTGTTTTGTGTGATGAAAGTGAAAGCGAAAGTGAATCAGATGATGAAAGTCATACTGTAACAATACAAGAAGGCACATCAGCAAGAAGTGGCCGCAGAGTAGGACACTGGTCCACAAGATATGCTGATTTCGTTCAGTGAACAGGAACTCCTTATAGAGGTAAAGATTGAAGGGGGTTGGGGGTGTGTCACCTCTTATATAAAGTTGTATGGGGGTGGGTCAAGAATTAACTAATGGGCTTAAAGGGGTGGGTCACGTTTTTTCTTTCATGCTAAAACAAAAAAAATCCCCCCCAACCCCCCCCCCCACCCCCCCACATAAATAATGACCGGTCCCTAAGCCTAGTAACTGGAACTGACGAGCCACAAAAATGATAAAGGAAAGCCAAAGAAGCGGGAAAAGAATTTGCCTTATGCGCATGCCCAAGCTTTGGAAGCTGAAACTAAGAATCAGGAACGAGAGAGGAGTGACCAGATAGTCACCAGGAAACTCCTCTTCTAACTTCAAACGGCATTTTCCGCCAAAATTCCAGAGGCGAATGAAGTTGATTAAATTGTGTACGTTCAACAAACCAACGNCCCCCCCCCCCCACCCCCCCACATAAATAATGACCGGTCCCTAAGCCTAGTAACTGGAACTGACGAGCCACAAAAATGATAAAGGAAAGCCAAAGAAGCGGGAAAAGAATTTGCCTTATGCGCATGCCCAAGCTTTGGAAGCTGAAACTAAGAATCAGGAACGAGAGAGGAGTGACCAGATAGTCACCAGGAAACTCCTCTTCTAACTTCAAACGGCATTTTCCGCCAAAATTCCAGAGGCGAATGAAGTTGATTAAATTGTGTACGTTCAACAAACCAACGGTGTCCCCGCTGAAAGTAAAAAGGACGCTACGGGAACAAAATCTCAACGATATTATAACATATTTATTATTACAAATTTATTGTTACAAAAACACTTGATATTTTAAAATATAAAACCTATGTAAATCTCATATGCTTATTTTCTATAACAAGTTGCTCAGCAAATGTGCGCTGAGTTAGACTCAAACACGAAAAAAACTGAACAAAATTTCAGACTGAAGTATTAAACTAAAAAAAGGTTTCATTTCATCCAAGATCATGTAGTTTATGAAAGATGATTCTTTCCCATAAATCAAAGTTCTCAAGCTGATGAGGATTCGGAGAGCATTTTAATTAAGAGTCGATTTGATTAAACTCCACGTTTTCGATGCTTTGTTCCTCAACCTCCTCACAAACAAACTCGAAAGCAAACGAAACTGACATTCGAACTCGACGACGCTTTCTGCCTGTTGTAAAGCAAGCAAGTGTGCTGTCGATTAAACTTGTTGTACTTGCTACAACAAATTCAGTTAGTCGGCTTCTCACTGTTCCTGTGTTGGAAATCGTCTCAAATGCCTCTTTTTCACGAATCATTGCCTTAGACTTATGAAACAATATCGTTTCACTGGCTAATACAACGGGTGCCTCAGTGTGGCGTGTCCTTCGGTTTCTTGGCTTTTTCTTCGATGCTCGAGACTGGGTTTGATTCGTCGGTTGTGCCTCCCTCGACAGGTCCACAATCTGGCATTCATTCTCAGTCACAGAGTTGTCTCCCCCCACTTTGTCATAGTCCTGCAAGAAAGAAAAGTAAGATCGTCAATTAATAGAATGTTTAGTTAATTCATACAGAAAAAGAATGCAACGTTTGTTTTTGGACGAGCCAAACACTGCTACAATCGATCGAAAAGGTTACAAAAGATAGGTATACAATAATTCATAACCTTTTCAGTATTTCACCGAAGGGTTTAAAGGGTACTTTCTGTTTCTATTTTGTGTTGTTTCTTTTATGCATGGAATAAAGTACATAAATTCAGGTCTTCTGCTTTGGTTTTAAATTCCTAATTTTGTGATTGGATGAAAGTCTTGCATCGTTTTCTCAGAGTTAACCAACCATAAGTGAACCTAAAAACATAGGGTATTTTGGAGTTGCCCGTGCAAAGCTTTTGTTTCAAAGCGAGGCCTAAGTGCGAAGCCCTTGATATGAAAATGATTTTTTATTCCCAAGAAAAAAAAACTCATTTTTACAAGAAAGGTTTTGCACTTAGCCTCGTTTGGACTAGAGAGTTTTTCGAACTCGGAAATGGCCTATCGCGACTTGCTCGATACGTTCTCCAACTCTTGACCGCAGCCGCATTAAGTTGAATTGAGTTCTATGTTTTTTCTTTTTTTTATGCGGACTGTTTATGGCTCTGTCGTGTGATTTCGCTTACCGGTAAAACTCTTTCTTCAGTGTTTTCATTCTCCTCGCCGCTACATTTCCGTGTTCTGTAAATATAAAAGGCGGCTCCTGCTGCTAATCCTAAGCCAAAGAAAGCTGAAAACATATTTATCAACTTCCCCATAATTTTGCTGATCAATCAAATTTGAAACGCACAAGTCTCACTACGAGTACTAGACCTCAACTACTCTTGGAAACGCTTTGCAAAAGTGTTCAATGCTTATTATGACGTCACCTGATTAGAATATGAAAGCGCGCGCTAACTCCCTTGGTCCCAGGAACTTGTGCGCGCTCTCCTGAGAAGTCAGCGGCGTCGATAATGAAATCAATAACAAATTAATGTTGAAGATACAATCTTAGGCCTACTACTAAAATAATTAATGCCTTAAAAAAGTTTACATCCATACATTTTTAGTTCGCAACGCAATTTTCTAAAACTCAAGTTCAAGTCACCCCGAACAAGACATTGTTTACGCAAAATGATATTACAAGGTTGTAGCTTAAGGACAGCCCAATATCCAGTATTTCTCGGCCAGCATCCACGGGACAGGAGATCATATCTTAATCATGTTTTAAATTGACTTGTGCTACAAGCGTTCTCTTACACATTTTGGGTATATCTTCTCGTCAATGAAGAGGGTCGAAACCACAAACCGTTGATTTCCATCACAAAACAACAGATTTAGCCAAGTTTATATTCCCTTTATTTACCTCAATTTAAAAAAAAATAAACGCAAAACCAATGAATTTTAATGCATTCCAAACAAATACTTATTGTCTCGATATGGCCAATTGACTACCGCAGCAAAAAGAGTTTCAGACGAGCGCCCTGATCAAAGATAAATACTCAAATTCATCAATCTACTCATGCAGTCTTTCTCATCTGATTTTCATAGATCTGCTAAAATAAAACGCAAAACAAACACTTGTTCGACTCCTGGCTTTCTTCCTCGGTTAAAGAAATATGACAAACTGATTGGTTTGAATAAGCTTAATGGCCTTGCAACTGTTCTGTTATTGCCACTTTGTGATCAGGCAAGACCATGGTTTCGGTTCTCCACGCGAACCTCGTCAGTTGCCGGGTTGGCTTTCTGCTTAGTTGCTTCTACAAGAGCAACTGTAGTTATTTGTTCTGTGCGGTTATTTGTTCTTCTCTAGTTGTTAATTAAGTCTGTATAGTGAACTGAAAAACGAAGTCAGATTTGAATCTTATCTTGATTTAATAAAGAACGTTATGACAAGAGTGGCAGTAACAAAAATGCGGATTTCTTGCCACTTGCTACCCATTGAATCGACTGGGCGCTACAAGAAGATACCCAGAGTTGAGAGACTTTGCCCCCTTTGTAATAGATCCGAAATTGGTGATGAATTCCACTATTTGTTGAAATGTACTCACTCATCACTTTCTCATATAAGGCCTATCTTCTTGGAGAGCCTATACTCGATAAACAGTAATTTTACGAATATGTCTTGCAAGGCACTATTTTTATATATCATGTCTATGTACGATGAAAACATCATAAATCTTAGTGCCTCTTGTATTGAAAATATTCTAAATTGTTGTAAATCTGAACTGTAATTAAACTTTCTTACCATACGAATACGCAGCGTAGAAGTCGTACATAACCAAATAATTTTTCTTTTATGATTATATTCATTATTATTCATTCAAAATATTTCCCCAATTGTGATTGGCTAAAAGCACACGCATAATTCACCATGACCAGTTAATGATGACCAAATTTGAAAGAAAAATGACGTCAAAAATGCAGCCTTCTACAGGTTAAGGCACTGTTAACCGAGAAGACCTGGGACGGGGTTGAGTTGTTTTGGTTGTGAACTTGAAAAATGGCGCACATTTCACTCGTTTCAAGAGCAAGAACTAAGCGAAAAAATAGCTAAAAACATGGCAAGAACAGCAAGAAGACAACTCAAAGGGCGACATCTGCTATTTGGAGAATATTTGCGGAGCTGAACAACCCTAAACGTGCACTATCGAAGATGAACTTAACATCGATGGATCGATGGAGGTAAGCATGTTTAGCCATGTAATTCGGCTTTCGTATCATATGAAGAATTATGGAGATCTCGGAGGGTGTTATCCGCCTCGGCCTACGGCCTCGACGGATAACACCCTCCTCGATCTCCATATAATTGTTCATAAGATACTCAGCCTCATTCATTAATTGTTAATTAGATAGTTGTTGTTACTTTCTTTCTTACTTACTGCATGCGATTTTCACAAACACGCGAATTCTAAAATTCCAAAGCCGCCTTCACAATTGCGTTTTTCGCTGCTGTCAATCATAATTACAGTCACAAGCAACAGTGAAGCAATGAACCTTGAAACACAGAAACACAAAAATATGGATCGAAATCCACCAATCACAGATCACAAACCTTGACCTTTTGAACCTGTTTGAGCAAAGTTCTGTTTCCTAAGAGGTCCGTTAAGATGATTGACGGCAGCGAAAAACGCAAACGTCAGTTGGTTTTTGAACTTCAGAGTTCGCGTGTTTATGAAAAGCGCAGTAACTTTTATTTTACTTTGTTTCATTTGTCATTGTATTGACTGTTCTGGTACTGAGATCTTCATGTGGAAGATAAAGTCAATAAAGTTGTTACATGTAAGTTGTTAAATTATTTTTGTTCTGTAAATTGATTATGTCGAGCGTGGATAGCGGCTGGCGCGTTTTTGACAGATGTTGACAGATCTTCATGGGAGAGCCAATCAGAGTTTTGCGTTGTGAGAGCAACGCATAAGTTGACCTATCAGGTCTATCAGATTACAAGAAAATAACAGAACTTCCCGAGAAAGTTAGCTGTCAATAATAATTACAAGAAACGAAATCAACATGAATCGCTAATTACAACCCACGGACGTGACCTTTTGAAGCCGCTGAAGAAAGCCCCTGTTTCCCTAGAGGTCCATGACAAAGGCGAAAAATGTAAACGTTAGTGTATATTTTTTGACTTGAGGTCACATATTGTTGCAAAGTGCAGCAGTGGTATCGAAGACGTTGGTAGTATATCCCAAAATTACAGCTTGTGTCAAACAATCATGTCTCCTGGGTGTTTATATACATAAAGTTTCCAATACTTGATAATCATAATATTGCCTTTTCCTATGCATATCCATTAAATAGTGATTAAAAAAAATTACTTCATAGGGGTAACACAGTTTCTGGTAAATCAGTAGATTTGATTGTGTCCCTCCCTAAAGGATAAGAATTTCCAGCTGGCCGGAGGCAAACCAGTTGGCTACTTTATACTCGGGATAACTGAGAACAAATTCAGCTAGCAGTTAGGGCGGGGATTGGACTCGGAGCCTCTGGATTACAATTCCAGCGCGCTAACCACTCGGCCACCCTGCCTCCCAGTGATTTATCCGGTGAATAGCGCTATCTAACATTTGAAAACTTAGGCCACATTTAAGATAAATTAATAAATTTATAAGTAAGTTATACGTAAGTTTGCAAAAATATATATGGTAAATAACCAGTTAAGTTGTTATTGTTTTATACAAAAATGTTAATTTTTAATATTTGTACTCACTCTTACTCCAAGGACACTGCGTTCACCAATGCAATCAAATTGTAAAGCAGTCTAATATACCACTTAAATGTACAGGTGTTGATCATGTGCTGGTGCTAATAAACTAATAAATTCTAAAAGTGATGACCCTCCGAAGGTAACAATACCAGATCCCTCAAACTGCTGAAAATCAAGACTACTGTAACGCAAGCTATGCTAATTCTGTCCTGAAATACCTTGCTACCTTAGGATTCGAAATTAACGCCTCATGAAGTTAACGCGAACTTAAAAAATTCGCGTTAATTTCTGTAAACGTTAATTTTCCGCGACCTTAATTTCCCTTATTTGGCCCCCTAATTTTCGACGCACTTCAGGCGTTTTTGACACCCAAGAAAGAGGGGTATTTTTAATATCAGGGTGGCGATCCGCCATTAACAGGGAAACTGTATATAGAGCCCTCGAAGTGGCCAGATTTTTTCGCTTTTACTCCTTCGTACGGAGGGAGAGAACCACAAAGAAAGTTTCCATTTCGGATTATACCGCGTTTAAACGTTTTTCCTGTTGTCTCAACTATTTGTTTCTTTGTGATCGCCGCGTTAATTTCCTTCAATTTCCTTTTTCGTGTTAATTTCCTTTTTTCGAAAGTCGTTTTCCATTAAATTCGCTTGAATTTATATCGCGGTAATTTCTAATACCTTAACTTAATGGAGCGTTAATTTCCTAAAATAAGGTTATCTTGTCCTCCCTTCTACTATTTATTTGGCATTTCATTCATGATCATGTGATGTTACCCTCATCATCTCTCTTGCGTACATACTTGTTGAGAACCAATCAGAAGAATATTGAAGACAATAGTAAAGTTGCCACCTTTATGCATTCTCACGTGTTCGTTGCGTTTGGTTCTTTCCTTCTTATCATATATAAGGACCCGTTTCTCGAAAGTCCCGATAATTAACGGGCCCGTAAAGCTGCTGTTGTTTACATGCAAGATAAAAGTTTCAATAGTTTTGCATCTAACAAAACTGATAAAACTATCAGTTAATGAAACAAAATGGAGTAGTTCGGTAGCCAGGACCCGCGCTCTTATTCTTTATAGGGGTGATGAATGGTCCATGAAAATTTTTAACTGCTCGCAAAATTTTACTTTTGCTCGATTTGCTCGCAAAATTTAAACGAGTGCTCACTTGCTCGTGCTCCCCAAATTTTTGCAGTTGCTCGCATGCTCGCTTTCTTGTCAGTATTGCTCGAAATTTTGTAAATCCTTCATGTTTGGGTTAAAGTAAATGTAATCCTGTATGGTGCTTAATTCCTATAAATATGGCTATCAAGTTCAGTGTATATGCACGCGATAAATGACAACGATAAATAACACTTGGCTAATCTAGCTATATATGGTTACAAAGAGAAGATATTGTTGCCTGAAGAGGCTGTTCTGACACGAGGATCTTGTTTCTATATAAGAAGTGCTCGCTGCTCGCGAGTTGTACTCTCTAAACTGCTCGCCGTGTGCTCGCAAAGCAAATTTTTTATCTCTGCTCGTGCTCGCAAAAAAATCGCAGTGCTCGCATGCTC